AAACCTTGAACGAAGGAACTTTGCCGTCCGACTGGAAAGAAGCTCAAGTAACACCATTGTTCAAAAAAGGTGACAAAAGCAGCCCCGGCAACTATCGCCCTGTCAGTCTGACAAGTGTTGTTTGTAAGCTGATGGAATCTGTTGTGAGGGATAGGATTATCGATCACTTGACAAACAGATGTGTATAAGAGACATGTCAACATGGCTTTATTGCCGGTAGATCCTGCAACACTAACCTCTTGTCTACGTTGAACGATTAGACTCGCCTGCTGGACGAAAGGGAGCCAGTGGATGCAGTGTACCTCGATTTTGCCAAAGCCTTTGACAGTGTTCCGCATGAGCGGCTGTTGCGCTAAGTGAAGTCTTTGAGAATAGAGGGAAACGTACTCCAATGGATCAGAGATTTTCTAGTAGGTAGACGAGAACGTGCTAGTAATAACGGAACCGTGTCAGACTGGGCTTCAGAGCGCAGTGGCGTGCCACAAGGAAGCGTTCTGGGGCCTATTTTGTTCGTTGCTTTTATAAACGATCTGCCAGATGCAGTGTCCAGCGTGTGCTCCATGTATGCCGATGACACAATAGTTCATAATACAGTGAAAGATGCGTCGAATAAAGCGCAATGGCAAGATGATCTTGACAGTTTAGTTAACTGGGCTGAGTCGTGGCAGTGCGTTTTAATGCTGACAAGTGTAAAGTACTTCACCTAGGGAAGAACAAAGAACAGCAAGATTACAGTATGAGAAGACATGGTTGCAACGAGAGAAATGATTGAAAAGTCTGTGTAGAAAAAGACATGGGAGTTTATGTCGGCAAGGAGCTGAAATTTTCTAAGCATGTTGAAACGCAAGCTAATAAATCTAACTAACTTCTTGCACTGATCAGACTCTCTTACGAGTTCCTAGATGCAGAAGCAATGAAGCAGCTGTTAGTTGCTGTCGTGCGTCCGACCCTAGAGAAGATTATAGATTATGAAGGTTCGAAACCTCTGTTTCCTACGTCTACGTTGGGACCTCATTGAAGTATACAAGTATATTCATGGTTCATACAAGGTCCCAGAAGGATTACTATCATTTGAAACAAGAACCAACACCAGGGGCCACAGCCATAATCTAAAAAACATTGCGTTGCAACTCATCCACGCGACAACATTTCTTCTCGCTTCGATTCACCGACATATGGAACAGCCTCCCCGAGTACATATGTCGGAACGCGTTCCATGGAACAGCCTCCCCGACACATGAAACGCTCCCAGTATGAGCGCGTTCAAGAACAGACTAGATAAAGCTATGGAAAATATATATTCAGACTTGAAATGCCTAACATCATATCGAACCCGGTGGAAGTCTAGTAGCTATTTCAAACTATCGTCAGTCGTGAAAAGATCCGGTCTAAGTACATGCTTTTAGATCTTCTGTGAACAAGTCATGAAAATTACAAGAATCGACGATAGGCCACACCAGGCCTACTCTCCAGCTCCAACACCACTATGTTATGTTATATGTTATGTTATCTCGGCCTTTGGATTTTTTCCAAAACGATTTTACTTCAAGAATCACATTTTTACGTAATGACTCTTTGGAATGAGGAAATTTATCCGTGGTTACTGGATAATAACATTGAGTTGGTGTGCAACAGTTTTTGAATAGTATTATATTATTTTGAAGCTATTTTGGTGTTTTCAAGTGACCAATCTTGCTTGATGATGTCGGAGGCTTTCTCGGCAATGACGTAAACGGTCGCCATGGGGTTGGTAGAGACCACCTCCGGCATCACCGAGGCGTCCACGACGCGAAGGCCCGACACTCCCCGCACGCTGAAGGTGAAGAGAATTTTATTTAGTTTCATTTAGGACATATTTATTTTTATTTAGAGTTTATTTTATATTTATTTAGGGTTTATTACACAAACATTGATGAAGTAGGAAAATTTCAAGACATGCATCTTTTTTTATCAAATTAATGGGTAATACTTGCTTTAATGTGACAAAGGGTCAAAGTGAATTGTATTGCTTGTGTATGCGGTCTCATTAGATAAAGAAAAGGAAATAAATGAATAAGTGACACAGAGTGACAAGAAAGAAGGAGAAAAAATTACAGGAGGAAAGGAATGAATGTGGTAGGTACATAATTGGTATGAGGGCTGAGTTAAAAGTACCCCCTTTTTTGGCCGTTTTCTATGTATTTTTTCGAAAAAATCATAGGAACAAAATGTGATTCTTTTTCGGTTTTACATATAAGTTTTAAATTTCAGGGAGATCCGTTGATAATTGTGGAAGTTTGTCTGGAGGGTATACCTCCCCTAATTAAGGTTGGTGTTGAGGAGGGAGATAAAACCGTCAGGACATTGAAGGATTTGTGTGGAGGAGCGATGAGTTAATTTTTGGATCCGTAATCCACATTAAAATACTAAAAATAAAGTTTTTCAATTTTAGTCGAGTTTTGCTTAGAGGATTTTAGAATTTTTTTACTCTTTTTAATTAATGATGACGGTCATGATGATGACGATAATAATTATCACAATATCTGCAAAGACTTTGTATAGTGTGAGTTTGGTGGTGTCGTGGTTGGAGAAGCTATGCAAGATAGTTTAGAAACGAACCCTACTGTTTTCATCTGATATGGTGGATACATGTACAATATATAATATATAAGTGCATATCTGATGGATGTTGCTATCTTTCAGATAGTTTGAAAATGTTCTTGGGAGGGAATGGTAGTGGTTGAGTCAGACGACTTTTGTAATTTTTGAATTAAGTGTACCTTGCTTCCGAGTGTTTCGGTAAGTAAAGCCCCGTCCACACGTTCAAACTTATCGATAGTCTTTCATGTCTTGCCAAGTTTGACATGCAAGACTGTGCATGTGGACGCTAAGTTTAATGTTTTGAAAGATGGTTTTGAAGTTTGAAAAACCTGGAAAAGCTGATGGGCGAGACTTATGTGTTTATGCAAGACTAACGACAAGCTTGAATGTGTGGTTGGGTGCCCGTCTAAACGGTCAAACTTCTCTCTCCATGTCTGTATTGTGGTTGAGAGCTGAGTTGTTGTTCATTGAAAGCTCTAGTTTTTCATGAGAGAAAGACACTACAAGATGTACGAAATTTCTTTTGTGAGTTCACGCCAGAGGGGTCGCCTGCCGAAGACCACCACTGCCTAATGTAATGGACCATCATGATTCCTGCCTTCCGGAACGAAGCCTTCAACACATCTGAAAAATCATATCTAGGCCGTGCGTCGAACCAGAGCTCGGTCGAACGGCCACTAGTCGAATGACGATAAATTTTGGAACAGAACAATGCTATCTGAAACCTAACCTCAGATGCGGTGAACGTAAAATTACGTAATTTAACGATGCCTAGAAGTCATATTTGATCCGCGGCCTGGTGGTGCACGGCAGGTTTTATGCATCAGGTCTTATTGGTGCACAAAATTGGTGGTTCACGGCTGCGCTCCCACACCAAAGTTTTCTACTCATTTCGTACGTTTTATCGGAATGAATGTACCACAGTACAATATTGACTCTCTTAGAATTTTCTTATAGAATTTTTATCTTGAAGTATTGTCTTCAGAACTTTGTACATGGCTTTGCAGTTTTCCGTTATTATTTTACTCAAAGCTCACTTGGAAATTATAGTTAGGAACTTTAGTTATTTGAAGATTCGTCTGGTTGCCGTGGGGGCTGGTCGAAGTCCTCATTTTGTGTCGTTTTTCGATATTATGGTGCTACAACATCCAACAAATCACTTAAGATTTTCAAACCTCTACATATGTAAGTCTGTATGCCAATCTGATTGTTCGTATTGTAATTCCCCTAAAATATTCCCACGAGAGCTTTTTATTACGTTCAGAAAGCATACGGTAGTGTCTGAATCTCTTACATTTAATTTTGCTTGCACAAATTGAGATCAAAACAGCGATCAAAACAACCTTGGCATGACACGCAAGACTGGCGATAAGTTGCATCGTACGGGCAGGGCTTACGGCTAGTGCTGTCCGTGTCTCTGTGTTTTATAGCTGACATAGCGCTCCCAATAGCCGTCCGTGTTGTTGCCTAATATATTGATTCTTCATTTAGCGAAAAGTGAAGTGTTGGCACTATTTTACCGCGTTATTTTTGTGGAAGTTTTTCGTTGATGCCATGCTGTAGTTTATCCTGTTTTTGAGAATTTGTTTGAATTGTAGGACAGTGACAGTCTGAAATTTTTATTCTTCTACTTTTTACACATTCATGTGGGCGAAGTATGCAGGGGTAGAAACATTGTAGGTGGCCGATGTACCGTACGGTAGAATTCAGGCATCTAAACTTTGATCGGAATTTCAGTTTCGGGCAACCAAGGAATTTTTATATAGTATGTTTGGGTAGTTGAGGGATGATCATAGCCGTTGTCTTGCATCACTTGTCTCTGGCTGCCAGTTTATGGTTACCAAAATACATGAAATTTATACTCAATCGATTCACCTGAGCCTTGGTGACACAACGCCCATTGGGTCGGTCAGCGGCGCCATTTTTGCGGTGCAGCAGAAGTGCTCGTTGGGCAGCGCCATGTGGCGGGCGTAGCACTCCCAGTAGCCGTCGGTCTTGTTGCCTAAATGCGCGCACGCCTTCAACGTCTGTGAAATAAAATAATCATAAGTGGCAAATTGATTATAGTATTGCACTAATAACTTCTTTTAAATAAATTTAGCTAGCATACTAGACGATTCCCGCCATATTTTCCATGTTTGCGTTTATTATTTGTACCCTCATTTTAAGAATATTTACACTCATACATTTATTGGAGTATTGGCTCAGAGACATGTGCACCTACAAGTGCGCCTAATATTGTATCAAAGCTGGCCAAATAATGAAGGAAATAAATCAAGTATCGATTTATTTCTGACAGAGTATCTATGACAGCAGAGTAATCTGCTGTCATAGTATCTATACCAGACAGAGTAATCTATGACAGCAGAGTATCTCTCTGCAATATATACTTGCGGCACTGACCGATCACATCCTCATTTATTTAATATAAAATAGTGGGACTTCTTATTTCATCAGCTTACCAAATCCGGTTGCGGGGCCAGTATTTTCTTCATACCCTCGGAACTCATGATGCGATTCAACTCTTTGACGCCTTGGGAAAAGAAACCAAACTTGAATTGTTGATTAAAATACATAGATGACACAACACCACAGTTAAATCGGCATGTATGATGCCAAAAAAAATATTTTTTTAACAGTAGCCGCAGAGAGTTGTGAATATAGGTATTTATGTGTCATAGTATCATTTTGATATGAAATACATACGCTAAGAGTACGAGGTTGTTCAAGTATCTCGCATCGAAATCTTTTGTAAAAGAAAGAGCCGTAGTAACAAATGGTAAAAGTTTTTTAACAATTTGTGATTTAAAATTTTTCGTTATGTGGAGAGTTAATTGCCACATATTGTTAGTTGAAAAAAATGCGCAGTTAGAATGCACATCAGAATTAATGTATCACTAGCTTCTTCTCAGTTTATTTTGCTGTGAACTATTCACGTCAACGAAATAATATGCGTTTCAAAATTATTTTTTAAATACAATACTTCTGAAGAATCCAGTGTTTCCGATGTTACACATGTGCAATGAACTTCTAATTTTATTTTCAAATATTAAAGAAGTGAATTCTGCTTTGAAAAATTACATTTTCATAATCATTTATTCTGTCAATTGATTCATGCATTGTCGTCAACTTTACGCAAGTGTGAGAATTTTCAGATAAATTGAACAAGTAGAAGTGTGTTGAATATCGATTATATGATTTGTAGCAGACAAAATATTTTTTTTTCAAATTTTTTAATATTAAAAAGATTTATATTTTGAAAATTATTTATTCTGTCAATTGATTCATGATATCAGCGTTTATTAAGACGTAGGCCTGTCGCCGATTCTTAACATCGCAGAACATTCACAGCATTTTGCGGTCTCGAACTCGCAACTCACTGCCACAATTCTGCTGTGCTCAACCGCCCGGCCTCCTCGCCGATTCTGACCAGAAACTGGCGCACAGAGCTGGGATCGAACCCGCGCCTCTCTGCGCCAATCTTGGTACTCTGAACTGTAACCACTGGGCCAACCTGCGAGGTAATCTTAGGCGGTAAACCCATGGCGGTAAATCTTTGAATTTGGAACCTACAATTTGATTGATAGGTGTCTTTCATTTGTATCATGACCTTCCGGCAGAAAATTATTCAGAATCCCTCTAACTGTGGCGTATCTACGATACAAACCTTTCACATGCAGTTTAACGTCGTCTGGATGATCGTAGAAGTTGTGGTTGATGAAGGGAAAATCGGCGGGATCTGCTGATGTGATCGCTACATATCCTTTGCTTTTTGGGCGACAGAGCATCACCCCAACGTTGAGGACGGGCTCGTTGAGCAGCGGACCAACAATTTGTGATTTAATCTAGAGGAAATATTAATGTTTAGTTAAGAAAGTTACGAAAAAAATCAAGAGAATATATGCAAACATATGTGCTTCAACTCGTCAAGCGCAGTTGGAACGCAATCGTCTTAGAAATAAATATTGAAACAAGACAGGATGAATAATGCATTTTATGTTGACAGAATCGATTAATTGCACTTAATTTGTGTGTCGCAATAAAATACGCAAAACAACCTCACGTGCCACAAAAATTGATTCCACGCTTAGTTGCCATCCCATGTCCCATCCCTCGATATAATCACAGCATTTCGAAGAAACATCAGTTAATTGATTGCGGTTGAAGAAATAGTGTATTCTCACGACCGTAAGTACTTACCAGCAAAGTCATTGTGAACACAGTTTCTTTAACATTCATTACTCAAAATCATTATCAAAAGGAATATGTATTGTCCTTGAGAAACGTGGTTCCTCGTAAAAAACTGGTCCAAGTCCTTACAAACAATGTTTTGTGCAAACAGTGGCAGAAATACAGTGGCTATCCGAATATACAGTGGCAGAAATGGCTATACGACCACCCAGTTTTTTCTAGATATTTTTTCTTGCATAGAAAATACTGGATTCGAATTATACAAGGCTAAACTACATTTAAAAAAGGTTCCAACGCTATACGAAAAAATGATTTTCTCACAATATATTAGGAGAAATGAAATTTAGAAAAAACTAGGTGGAAATGGTTATAAGACCATGATATTTTTTTTCATTTTCGTATCTTTCAGTAATATTTTCACGTTAAAAAGTACAGCAACATAAAGAATATCCTGATTTTCGCCATTTAGGGTACTTCTGGCGTACTTCTGGTGCCCTTCTGGTGTAGTTCGGTGTCCTCATATATATTTTTCGAAGTAGAAAAGATGCCAAAGGGGGCAAGACTTACGACTTACAAAGGCCGAGAAGACGCAGATTTTGGCCTTTGCGATATGCGTAGAAGCCAACGGGACTTTGCAAATAAAATAAGACACTCAAAAACAGTTATGCAATCATTTTTTGCTAATCCGGACGGCTACGGATTATAAATGCACCCTGGACTAACCAACAAAATTTACCGACTGGGATCTTAGGCGACTCTTTTCAAAGGCTTCTGGAGCTGGCGCTACCTCTACTTCTATAAAATCGGTTACTGGGGTTGATGTGACAGCTCGACGCATCCGTCTGATATTGCATGACTCGAAGAAATTCAAGTACACAAAGCGGAAAAATGCCCCTATGCTTACACAAAAGCATATTACCAGCCTACTAAAACTAGCTACAAAAAACGTGCTTATAGGTGAGGGATTATCTTCAGTTATGAAAAAAATTCAATCTTGATGATCCAGATGGATGATACAATGCTATTGGCACCGTCTGGATCGTGAGCCTCAATTCTTTTCCAAGCGGCAATCTGGTGTTGGTTCGGTCATGGTTTGGGGGCTTTTAGCCGAAAGGGAAAAATCAACTCTAGCTATTTACAAGGGAGACAAGATTCCGAGGCATACAAGCACACGATGTTTCTCCATCTTCTCCCTTTTGCCGATGAGAAACATGAGGGATCACATGTTTTACAGCAAGACAATGCTTCGATTCACACCTCAAAGTCACCAAACAAGTGGTTCAAAGAGCAGAATATTACTCTTTTGCCGTGACCAGCGCTTAATCCTGACCTCAACCCCATTGAACACCTACGGGGCATCATGGCGAGGGATGTTTACCAAAATGAGCGCCAGTTCTAATCTGTGAGTGACCTAAGCATATGGCTATCCTTCGTTCCTGGGATAAAATTCCTCAATAGGTTGACCAATTGAAGTGAAATTAACAAACAAACCTCATTGGTGTAGTATGGCAGTCCTACGCCCACAAGTGGTGTCATGTAGATATCAACATCGGGCCAGCGAGGGTCTCCTCCGCCGAGGTTGAGATAGGTGTGCATCAGAGGGGTAGTAGGCAGCGAATAGAACCCTGTTTGGGATATTAAAATTGAATTAAATCCATCAATTCGCAGCATTTATGACAACGATCTGCAGAATATTCAAACGGTACAATGATAGATTATGAAATGGCGCAAAATATTTTATTCTCAAAATTAGATAAAGGTCAATTAGATAATATCATCATGATACATACTAATTAATCGAATGTCAGACAACAATGCGAGAACCTGGAATGAAACATTTGTTCCACCTTCAATTTGCCAAATTAACAAACGGTTAGTTCTCTTTTTCGATAACTAAACAATGTTCTATAAACATGTCCAAGATTGATAGGTGAATTTAAATTTTGAAAGATGTTACGTAGCAATTAATTATGTGTTTGAAAGTAGTTTTTCGTTATATATATTTCAACGTCAAACAAAAGGATCGCGGCTTAAACCTTCTAAAAGATTCCTTCATTCAATGAAAGATGCCTCCGAGGTTATGGCGTGTTCCCTGACCTCGCGGCCAATATATGTATATTAATATTAAATTATATTATTAAAATTCTAATTATTTCATGTCATCCAAGCATTTTTCGGCATTTTAATTATCCCGGATTTTTGAACTACTATTTCAAAATGAAGCTCCGAAATAATTGATAATGATCGTTACAGGATAATTAGCTAAAACTTGTTTCAGTAAAATATATTTTTTTTTATTTCATTCAACAAAATCCCTAGAATGTGAAATAGAATAAAAATTTTACGTTGGCATGGCATTTTCCCTACCTTTTTAAGGGGGCCTATCAACATAATTGATTATTTATAATAATCGTTTTTCGTTTTCATTTCATTTAAATTGAGCCAAAATCTATTATTTGTGTTTACTTTCCCAAAATTTTTATTCATTTTTGCTAAACGTTATCTTCGTTTTATAGAATTTGATTGGAACTAAAGATGACAGCCCTTAGGAATAATGAATTTCGAAATTCATAAAAACGGTTAATTGATTGAAGATTTGATTAGTCCGTCAAAACAGAGACAAATTTATTTGAAAAATGTCTCATCAAAGTTATATGGCCTGTATTTTTGACATTGTCTTAACCTCAGACGATTCCATCATACATACCTGTTTGCTCCCTGAGATAGCTGGCGATGTGGAAAGGATTCATCAAATCCATGAATGTTGGAGACAGGCCCGGTTTGATCTTAAAATTCAGGGCAAAAAGCTGATGACTATCCAAATTCTGCCCCACGCCTGGAACTTCGGCTACCACAGGAATCTGGAAAAACGTTACACTGAGCGTAAATCTCATGTACAATTTTATAACTTTTTCTTTCATTTGAATGAACTTCAAAGGAAGGGCTTCCAATGAACATTTCATTGTAATGGTGCACCGCTTCAAATAAACATAAAATGAAAACGAAGGGGAACCTTGTATTTTATATAGCAGAACATTTAATTATTATAAATATCTAGTATAGCGCTTATAAATGAGGCTCCAGTATTCTTCGAACTTAGGCAGATGGTGTGTGTCTTGAGAGGCCGCAAGGCAAGTGTACGTTAGGGTGACAGTTTGAGTCTTAATTATCTCGCATGCCTGCCACACGAATTTCATGTTTCTTTTCTGAAGTTTCCCAAAAAAGCATTAGTGGGTTGCTCACTCTGTAAAAATGTGTCATGCTTTCTGATTGTAAAATAAATTAATAAAAGTAAAAGTTAGAAAGAGACTTTGAATTTGGTTAAAGAGCTACCTTTCACTATTATGTTTGCGGGTGATCCAAGAAGGGCTAAGTAGAAAACGATTAAGTTCATTTTCTTAGAATTGTAGGAGCTCGCAAAGTTTCTTTTGAATCAGAATGACTGGTCAAAATTTTTAAATCTTCGGTTTGGACGTCTTTAGAATGGCTAGCAGGCTTAGCATCGAGGATTTCTAAAAAGTCATTTCAGACTTTGCAACAAATGCTTTAGGAATATTTCATTTAGTATGAAATTTTGTAACAACTTTGTTATGAATACGAATGAAGTGCGAATATTCGAGTTTGTTAGCGATTGTTTTTTAAGCCAATTAAAATATTTTGATGGAGAAGCCTCGAAAAAGCCTTCATGTAAACTGGATATGTTTTATATTTCCTGTCACTTGGCATGATGAATAAGTAAGTAAATAACTTTTTCTTTCGCAGATCATATTCGGGAACGAATATGAGTACTTATTAGTCAATATTTCAAACAAGAAATATTATATTATTTTCAGCGCATTTTCTCATTTATGGAAAAAATGCACTATTGTACTCGCCATGTCCGTCTGTCTGTCTGTCTGTCTGTCCGTCCGTCTGTCCGTCCGTCCGTCCGTGACCTCAAGTTTTCGTCGACGAGAAAATGTGCTCTCTGTTACTCACTGCAGTGAGTACTGAGTTATATTTTTTCTGAATTGGTCCAGTGGTCAACGTTAACTACTAGCCACATTTTTTCCGCGAATAATATTCTTGTCCCCACTGCCGTTGGTCCGCGCTTCTACTGCACTTACCCCCAATTCTTCGAGTTGCTTCCTTGGTCCGATGCCAGAGAGCATGAGGAGTTTTGGAGTGTGAAGAGTACCGGCGCTGATGATCACTTCTTTCCGAGCTTCTACTTTATAAGTCTGGATACAAAGATATATCGTATTCAACAATTTTCCCGAAACGGTGATAGAAGTCTAAAGAACGGCTGACACATGCCCACTCTATCAAGATCAATAATCAATTGGGTGTAAACTGCACCATAAGATATGAAAAACAAATCATGAGATATGAAATTTGCGTTGATCATTGAGCCCGTATAGTGTTATATGTATTATATGATACAACACTATATCATAATATAACACTATTTCATTGACCCCGTACAGTGTGATATTTTGAGCCCGTATAGTAATCATCCTCACCTTTCCTCTGAAAGTGTATTCAACTCCCACAGCTTCCTTTTCTTGGTTGAAGAGTATCTGCCCAAATATGTACGAGAAGTCAATTAATCGGAATTGGTTACAGTTATCAGTACTTAAATAACGTATTAACTGATCAGCACGTTATCAAAAGAAATTAGTTTATGACAACGCTTCAAAGAGCTTACTGGGTCTTAATGCACGGAAACATTTCTTTGTCGTCCGCTAAGCAGTTTTCATGGATACCTAACTCCAAACCATGTTACCAGATTGTTTAGCATTGAAAATTATTTGAATTTATCGCCTATTATAAATCTTTACGCAAAGCAACTTTCATTTACGTAGATAACCTCTAGAGGAGGACTCAATTAAATCCAGCTTTTACCATAAATTGAACACACATGAATAATAAGTTCTCAAACTTGTTGTACAATATCATCTCTGAATATACGGATACATGAAATTTGAAAGTTTGTTAATCGTAGTTAATCTAACACTAGTTGACTCAACTCCGAAAAATTATTGAAAAACTATGTTATACTCATCCAAGTGATTTTTTTTATCAGAAGAATATTTCATATATAGTATGCACTGAAGTAATGCATTGACAATCTGCAAAAGCGAAAGAATCAATCCATCGAAATTTATTACTACGCACGAGAAAACTGATCTTCCACGTCATGAATTAGGCGATGCTAGTTTAGGTTAGGTTACAATGATGTATTAGCATATCCAATCCTGAAAAATTAGGAAGTGCTAGTATAGGTTAGGTTACAATGATGTAATAATATAAAATACTGAAAAATAACATTAAAATTTTAAATTTTCAGTTATTCCGAGCCGTCTGGAGTGTCGATTAGATCGGGTACGTATTGTCTGAAAGTGAGGACCAACTTTGTGCGAAGCGCTGATTATTACCGATAATTATTTGGATTCTAACAGATATTTTGCAAATTTATAAATGAAAATAGAGTATAATGGAAAATATACCCTTGAAAAAGTACCTCATCAGTAGGGAAATGATTTACATGATTTTTTCGTGTTTGTCTCGCTGTTGCCTGTACATTTTACTGTCCAAGTTTCTAAAATACTCGAATCCGTCATACTTTGCATGAAATAATAGCCGATGCTCCTGGGACCATACTTTCAAAACTCGCTAAGTGAACGTAAGTACTTACGCTCTATTTTCTTGTCTATGATTGGCGGATTTGCTTGAAAGACCGTCAATGATTGGCTAATGAACTTACGATCTCTTAACTTTTTTTTAAAGTATAGGCCCTGCGTATCTTCTCACCTTGTCAACCCTGGCTCCTGGTAGAATGTGCAGATTCTTTCTATTAAGAACAGGCTTCAGGAAGGCTTCTGAAGATGAAACCCTCACACCTTTCTTCACAGTATTGTGGACCGGAGCGAAACCTAGACTTAGGTTTGAACAAATTTAGTAGAGATCTATTCGAACCTATTCGAAATATGAATAGTCTAGGGCGAATTATATTACTTAATGAATTAACTGATTACCTATCATTTATGCTTAATCGATTGATTGAAAAAAAATTAGGTAAACAATTTTGTTACTTGATGATAAATTAGCTTCAAAAACGAGGTGTACCGATTGTAGATATGTTTCTTTTTCTGGCAGTGAATAAGGGATTAAGTAAAATATTTCTGTTCACCTTGAAAACATTGAAACATTATGCTGTCTGTCTCATTAGGACTTTTTTTGCGTGATGCAGTTTCAAACAGGAAATGCAGTTGTCGGAAATGAATCTTTTTAACAAAGATTTATTTAAGAAAAAGGGTAGTTATACTTTATAATTTGCGTCAGACTGGATGTAGTAAGTCATGCGGCGCATATGATAGTACCCGCAATACGAGAAACAGGCGATGGGAAAGATGGGAATACATTATCAAGCAAATATTATTGCCTTTACTTCTTCTGTTTAATCCATTTCACTTATTTGGCTCCCCTGAAGAGTTCAATTTGCCATTTTTCGCCTCATTAAAATTATTATCCTTTGATTTTTAGGCTATAACAATTAGAGATGTATCATTGGATTCGAAACAAAGATATCGGGCGGCTCTAGAAGTTATTTTTTTCTGATTTATTAATTGTTTGCCTTATATATTGTAAAAACCTGGAGAGAGGGGCGGGAGGGGTGGAATAATGGAAAAGTCATTTAAAAATGGAAAAATTACCTCTAGAGTCTTAGATATTTGCATTACAATTCGAATTTTATATATGTCTCTTGATGTCGTAGCTCACAAATTAAAAGTGAAAACTATAAAAGTATTTATTAAATGGTTAGGTTATTAAGGAAAATATTAATGAACTGTATTAAAAAACTTTATAAAAGTTCCTCCTTTTCCGTTTTATTCGCACATCACGTTTTCTTGCATTAGCTAAAAAAATTTACCCAAACATAATAATCTTGTATTAGTGTCTTGCACATGCGTACAAAATTTTGAAAATATCGATCAGTTAACTTGAAAATATTTGGTGTGCAGACCCACTTTAATAAAACCTTGAATAGCTTCGTCAGCCATTGAGTCAATTCATGTCTAATGTATATCGCGTTTCATATATGTTTAATGTCTTTCACGTGTAATATATCATTATATGTTAAATGCATAAGGTTTATACTCATGCCTAATGTCATGGTCATAAAGAACAATGTGGATCCAACCCTCTGATTGTATGAATGCACAAGGGTTGTTGGCACGTAAACCAAATGTTTGGGGCGCCTCTGTTCATTACGCCTTCGGGGCGTACGCGTCTCAAAAAAAGATAAATCACTAGAAACGTTCGCTCATAAATTGTTTCAGTAAATGTAGAATTTTTCTACAAACGAAAGATTTATCTGAACAAAGTTTTAAATATCATTTACAACTTCCTCACCTATGTTGCTGGGACCGTTGGGATCTATGATGTCGAGTCCCAGTTCCGCAGCGACGGGGCGGATGATTTCTTCCATCTTTATGACGTCGTCTGTGGTGTCGACGGTCAGAGGACCGCCCTTGCCGTGGTATTCATCTAAGCGGATTAATGGAAACTTATTCATAATGACTATAATTTTGATAACAGTCTTGTGCCGCATACTAAACTGCGAATACTAAGGCATTGAATGCTCACCCGTGACTGCCACTCTGAAGAACAAGAAGACTCATCCGAGTGTTCAATGACTGCCCCTCTGGTAACTAGAAGACTCACCCAAATGTTCAGTGACTGTCCCTCCGAAGAACTAGAAGACTCACCCGAGTGCTCAGTCACTGCCCCTCTGAAGTACTAGAAGACTCACCCGAGTGTTCAGTGACTGTCCCTCTGAAGAGCTAGAAGACTCACCAGTATGCTCAGTAATCGTCCCTATGAAGTCTTCAGATTTTTTAAAATAAGGCAGGAGCGACGCATGGTCCCAGCCCGGGTTGCCGAGGGCGCTCCAGTTATCGTAGTCGAGTTTGGCGCCGCGGACGTAGAGCCCAAAGTTGATGGTAGTACCGCCACCCATTACGCGTGCCGCGATCATCGGGATGGTCTACCGTCAAGAATAAAGCGTCAATTATTGCAAAATAATCTGATTGATAAGGAGGTTGAAGTTACTGTTTCTCTGTTATCGATGGCTGGTCATTATATATCAAATTCACTTGACAGTATACAATATTAAATCATTAAGGATTTATGACTTACGTAAACGTTTCTTCTCTCATATTTATGCAATTTACGTCAACACTCGAATCATCCAATTAGAGAGCTGTAAATTATGATACCTTTTCCAGGTTCGCAATGCTAATCTAAACACTCTTTAAGCGCTTTGCGACTATCTTTTCATGTTTTCCCGCATGCAATCTATCATATATTTTAAGAATTTTTTGTGTTACTATGTTTCTGCTACACAGAAGTAAAATTCTTCGTACAACTTCTGTCAATAAATGATAGACATTCATGCGAATTTTAGAAACGAAATTCTTTTCTGCCTCTAACCCAAACATGAAAAAATTGCGATGAGGTACGAAACTGTCGGAGCCGCTGTGATCGCCAGATTTAATAATCCATATGGCCTACGCAAAAAATTTTGGTCAAAAAATAAAAAATTTGACAAATGACATTTTGACTGACACTAAATTTTTGAACAACACAGTATTTAAATAAGTACAAACCTCACACGAACCTTTTTAAACAGGGCTTTAGAACAAGGACATCCAGTCTAGGATGTTCTACGTTCAAAAATGTAGAAGATTCTTGAAAAAAACTTATCCATTAAAATGTTAATTTCTTTGATGGGAGATTTCTTATTGCATGAAGGTTTCAACAGGCAAAACTCTACTATATTTTCAGAGCTTATATGAAGACACCTACTACGATTCAATGAAGGTATTATCACATTCGTCATGGCATAGCCGCAACGGGATATTGAGCTTGCTAGAGGCAACTATTTTGATACCTTGACATCGTATAATGGCACGACAAAATTGACCAAATAAGTTAACTGTAGAACGTTTTCTCACCAAAAATTGAACGAAAACTTGACTCATTATCTTACCTGGTTTTTCACTCCCAATAAGGTATTTTCTCGTGAGAAACTCTTTATCCAGCGGACGTTCTCCGAGACGGGTTGGATGAACGACAGTTTGGGTATGGCGGACTCCAGTGTAGCCGACAGCCCTTCCTCCAGCAGCAGCACACTGGCGCTGGTCTCCGAGAGGCGCGACGCTACCACGCATCCCGCGGCGCCCGCACCAACTGACGGGATTATTTATGGTAAAACTCGGAATAATCTGAATCTCTGATAAATATTTGAACCTATTTTTCACATTTTTGGGGTTCTAGATTGATATATTGAAGCCTTCTGACATCAAATCTGGTCTAACCTACATTGGAATCACCATTACAAATCCAAGAACCAAAAATCACCAAAAAAGTTCCCACTGTTTATCTTCACGGTTATCTATAGGCCACTGTAACGCCAGCGGGACCGCTTTCTTTTTAACGGCGGCCTTCGAAAAGTGGACTGCAACCTCGCGACAACAGATTGGCGTCTGTTGCTGGAAATTTTGACGTAAATTTCTAATTGGGTATGTAGTCTTCAACTTGCGACGAGATTAAATGACGAAAATATATTTTGTAACATTGATATAAAAGGAATGATATATGTGGCAGCAGATGATATATTGAATATAAACTACCAGTTTGCAAAAAAATGACAACAGCTCGATGAATAAAGTTCAATTTATTTTGACAATAAAAGAAATTGCAGGTAAATAGTAGGCTTACGTTTGGTGCTGCTGTTCGATTCTCCATAAAAGGTAGCAATTAAGAAGCATTGTATCTAATTAGCTAATCTGAGCAAAGCTGGTGTGATTTATATACGAAAATTTCACTATTGCAATATGTTAACCAATTAACAAAATATTATTAAGAAAAATATGTTAACAAAATAAACCAATTATCTAACATTTCAACAAAAGTTTTAGGTGAAAATTGCAAATTCCGATTTATGCTTGTAATAAGTTCTAATTGAGCCGTGCATTAATCGCAAAGTTGTGGCCCAAATCAAAACCTATTGATTTTTTGGTGGTAAGAAAAAAATTATGTTTTTCCTCACCGACGATGAAGTCGTAGGCGCCTGTCGCTGGGAGGTCGGAGTCGAAGTCCTGAGGCCCGGCACTGAAGGTCAGGCTCAGGAAAAACCGTAACGCCTTCAGCACCATTGCCTTCAGCAGCGGTGACTCAAGTAGCAGATCTAAACTTCTCGCCAGAAACAATTGAGGACATTATTATTCGAACTCAGTACAGCTTACGCACATTGAAGTAGGAATTGAAATTTGTAAAACAACTAAACACAAATGAGATCGATGATCATGAAAAACAAATTTGAAAAAATAATAACACGGTGAAATTTACAGGCGATGCAGAAATGCAACTACCGAGTCTTCATGAGGGCTTACCCGCTTTCCATTAATTCATATGTCGTAGGTGCTTTAGAACACCACAAATTACAATCACGAATAAGTAAATTTTTCGAAAATATTCCAATCCTTAATAAATGATTCAATAAATTGCACCTTGTGTCTGCTATACGTTCTTCCTATTCGGTCAAAATAACATGCCATACGGAATTTTGTTAGTGTTTTAAGGTTTGATGTTCATTCAATAAAAATTTTATGTTAAATACTAGCATTTTATAGAAAAATATCGCACTTACCTGAAAAAAGACTTTACTGCAGCGATTCCACAAGCCACAATTGCTATGAAAACTAGAATCCTCGTTTCCCGTCGAGAAAAGATATCAATTAACGCCATGTTGTTAGTTGTGAGAAGTAAACAACTTTTTCCACTCAAAAAGTCTATAAATGAAATAAATTTTTTTTACAAATAGCTGAATAAAGGTAAACAAGTTTATTCCGTTGTAAAAACGTGAGCGCCAAATTTTAAACTTGCACCCGATCAATCAATGCAATATCTGCATGAAGAGAAAGTTTTAAGGAAATGCTTTGGCGAGTTCACTTTTTTTCCAAAAACCTGCATTTTATGAATGAGAAGCAATCGCCGATTTGGACGTATAAAGTTTGCATAGGAATAATATTATTATGTTACATTCTTGCCATCTCATCACGGCAATGTTATTTTTTACGCATTGTAAGGATTTTTCTCCTTAGACTAATGGTGCTGGCTATAATCACATTAATTACTACAATCACATTAATTGTTCCGATTTCACTCTTTCCATTGTTCATTGGTGCACGTTGGAGAGAATGATCGATTAAATGTAAGTTGGATTCAAGTTCTTTACTTAATTGAAAATTTAGTTGCAGCAATTAAACTAGTAACTAAATTTACAACAAAAGTCGCAGAAAATATTTCATACGAAAAATTACAAATTTTGGGACCGATTTTTCATGATTGGCCTAACAAATATTTTATTCAAAGACGCAATTCTATCGAAATATAAATAATTAAAAATTTCAACTATTAAAAAAAATTTCGCCTTTAAAACTAGAATCATCATATTTTTATCAGAACCATAAAGTTCTAGAAGCAATATAAAACAATAACATGGTATGTTTTGAACAGAGATAATCAACTATCTATGCAGCCCGTACATGCATAGGTAGGTGGTCCACTACGTTAAAGTATGGCGTGGAGTAGTGTGGTGTCCAAATTATGTTTTCAGTTGCGGCGCAAAGTTTTCCCCATCTTCTTCCCAAGTTTCCTGCGATTATAGACGCCAAAACTTGGATGCGCTCTGGAAAAAATATGAAGTACAATAACAGTGCCTAAATTGAGTTTGATTTTCACCCTATATTTATTAATGAAACTATTCCATTCGCCGGCCCTGCAGTTCAGTACACGATCACCCACAGAAGTTGCTGAACCACTAACCTACCTCTGGTCGAACAGGCGGGCATGAAAGCTCAGGCAAAAAAAAAGTTCATGCACAAACACAATAAATGTTCGCCTGAAAAAAAACGTTGGCATTTGCCAGTCCTTCAAAATGTTGCCCGGCATCTCGACTCCTTGAAGAAAGCAGTAGGCAATGTTTTGAAACTTTCATTGTTTAAAATCTTTAGTATAGTATAGTATATCCGACCCTAAACTATGAAAATTTAAACTAATGATTTTATGTTTTTATTACATTAACTTCTTTTATTATTAGTATTTTATTTATTTAATTATATATATATTTACATACAATATTGAATTGTTGCATAATTAGCTGCTGGTGAGAAAGACATCAAAAGGAGCTGATCGCCCTTAATTTTCTTCTTAAACTGGAATAGCTAACTAATTGTACTCTTTAAAATTTTCTCTGGACCAAATAAAAGACTATCGCTCCTAAAACAGATTCAGTTCATGCTATTTGATTTTCTAATATTTATATTATAATATTATTAGTTCACTCAAGTAAACATTGTATGGCCAATTTGCCTTACAAGTAGTTTTTTTAGCTTTAAATCTTGTTCGAAATTATTTTTACTTTATTATTTGTGAATTTTTATAGTTTCATAAAAAATTTAACGGATTCCCTCGTGAAATCTTATTGTAAAATTGAATCGCAATGATCTTTTAGAAGCTAGAATATAAATAGGGCAATTAGGCATATGAAAACTTGCCTATGGACCTGCGATTTCTATGTTTGCATTATTTAAATGATGCTTTTGCTGATGAATTTGAATACATCTTAATACTTTAAAAGTTGGTCAGAAATTTAATTAGTGAATACTTATTATGCAATATAAAATCATCGCTTGCCCTGTAATAGTTCACATTATCACGATGAAATAATTCATAATAATTCAAAGAAGAACATCTGTGCAAAATCATACGCATTTCGTGACCCTCGCAAAATAAAATGCCCACAGAAGAAAATTGAAAAATTAATGCCGAATTAAGAGGTAGCAACGGTGTGGAATATGGCCTAGAGCTGGGTTTTTCTACATTGATAAAAAACCATCATATTCTGAAGCAAGGGTCCACTCCTGAGCTCAAGCCAGGATTGCCAGATGATCTTTTTTTCCGGACAAATTCCGCGATTAATTTTTTATCGCATTTGCTCAGTCATGGAAAAAAAGGCGCTATTGTGCTCGTCATGTCCGTCTGTCTGTTCTTCGTCTGTTCGTCTCTCTGTCCGTCTGTCTGTCCGTCTGTCCGTGACTTCACATTTTCGTCGACGAGAAAATGCGTTCTCTGTCATTCACTGCAGAGAGTACTGAGTTATATATTTTTTCAATTACGTTGGCCGACTAAAATTTTTGATAGCGGTGATACTTTTGCAGGGTGCGGAAAAAAGTAAAATGGAATTTTTGCTCCGGAACCTACAAATATAGTAAAATATATTGATTTGCAGGACTCTTTTGGCCTTTTTTATCCGCGGACTTGGTATTTGGGCCATTTGGCAACCCTGTCTTGTGCAGCTTCGTCTCAGAGACAGGAAAAACTGGATGACATTGAGAGGAGATGCACAGCCACTCATGGGGATCCCAACAGTCCATACATGAACGGAAAAAAATGTTATGCCTAACATGTGAATTTATATCCTCACACGATTTACGGTTGCCAAAAACTAAGCTTAAGTCTTTGAGTTATCAATATATAAATAAATTAGATCAGTACTCACTGCAGTGAGTGACAGAGAGCGCGTTTTTTTCTCGTGCATAAATCAGTTTTCATTTCATTAGTACAGTGCACTGCACTCATTACATCATTTTGAGTTTGGTATATTATGCTGCGGTTAGTTTATTAAAGATTACTTAGAATCAGTTTAAATGGCATAGAATATAGATGAGGACTTGATCGACCTTGGATCAAGGTCAACACTCGAAACCTCTGATCCCACCCTAAACCTAATACACTAATCAATTTTATTTTTTGACATAGTTTTTGACATCATCAAGTTCATAGATGAAACAATTACTACAACAAGTGACCAAGACGAAGAGCGTACATAAGCCGTACATAAGATACCAGCGTACATTAGCCGTACATAAGATACCAGCGTACATTAGCCGTACATAGGATACCAGCGAACTCTATATACAGGATGGGACGATGGTCCTCTAGCCTATTTCTTTTCCTCCTTTATTTCAGAGCGTGTATTATTTATTTATTATGTCAATTATTTAGGATGGCTGAGGCCAAGACCTGGATCATGTTACATATTTTTGGAAAAACCAATCTTCAACCAATCTAAACTATAATCTAAATTACGACACGTTTCAAAGTATTCTTAAAATCGACGAAAACGTGAAGTCATGGACAGACGGACGGACGGACATGGCGAGCACAATAGCGCCTTTTTTCCACAAATGAAAAATGCCCTAAAAATATCGTAACGCTGGTCATATGGATATAAATTAGAAAAGAATTGAGCTTAAATTACGACAATTTTCGTGCATTTTGTCGCTGATTTGATTATATTGAATAGTATTATTAATTAAAAGTGACAAAAGGGATGTCGATAACTTCTTGGACTTCTTGGCGAGTCTTTTTTAAATAAATTTTGAACTTTTTGAAGAAAGTTGTCTTGTTTTTTGACGGATTAATCAAATCTTCAATCAATTGTCCGACTTCATGAATTTGGAAGTTCATCACTCCCAAGGGCTCTCATCTTTAGTTCCAAAGCAAACTCTATAATCTGAGGATAGCGTTTAGCAAATATACTGTAAATGCAAATTTTGGAAAAGTATACACGAATAACAGATTTTGGCTCAATTTAAGTGAAATAATCATCACAGAACGAAAATAAATTATAAAAAGTATCAATCATTTTGATGGACCACTTTAAACAAGTTTGGAAAATGCCATGCTAACGTACAAATTTTAATCTATTGCACATTCAGGGGATAATGTCGAGTGAAATTAAAAAAGACAAATATTTTACTGAAACAAGTTTTAGCTAATCATTCTGTAACGATCATTATCAATTATTTTAAAGCTTCATTTTGAAATAGTAGTTAATAAATCCGGGATAATTAAAATACAACTTTTCATTTAACTGGCTGCCACAAAATGCCTGGATGACATCAAACAATTAGAATTTTAATATTATAATTTAATATCAACACATATTGGCCGAGAGAGCGGGGAACACGCCATAACCTCGGAGGCAATTATTTCAAGATTTTATTGAATGGAGGTTTCTTTTAGAGGGTTAAACCGCGATCCTTTTGTTTGACATTAAAATTTATTTCATCGAAAATCTCCTTTCAAACGCACAATTAATTGCTACGTACCATCTCTCAACATTTAAACAGTTGTTTTTAGCGCATTTTCTCATTTATGGATAAATGCCCTATTGTGCTCGCCATGTCCGCCTGTCCGTCTGTCTGTCTGTCTGTCCGTCCGTCCGTGACCTCAAGTTTTCTTCGACGAGAAAATGCGCTCTCTGTCACTCACTGCAGTGAGTATTGAGTTATATATTTTTTATTGGCCTTGCGCTATAACCGTTGACGGGGAATAAGTGCCAGTCAAGCCAACTCGATGCAATATGGAGGTATCTTTATGACAAATAGCATTACACTCGTACTAGTCAGATTGGCAGGCGTAAGCCGGGCTTGATAATTCCTGCATTTACTTAGAAGATATTTTCCAGCAAAAATTGCAGGCCACTATCTAGTGTGGCTTCAACCACGAAAAATGCTTCGACAAACATTTTAGTAGAGCCGAGCTTCAAATTTTCAATGACAAAATAAGTGAAGATTTGTCAAGCAGACCCTCAACATAGTTATATCCTTACGGCATATTAGACTCATCGACTCTCATTAAATTAGACTTTCATCCATAAGAAAAATGAATTTGTTTAGATTTACTGGCAGCATCTGAATAATATTCTCTTAACATTAGAAATTACCAGACAATGAATGAAATTTTACTTATTTGGGAGCGGGAACATAAGATTATTATCATTATCGATTTTATTACACCTCCTTTTAAAAATATCTATATGAATAATGATAAAAAATTTACGAAAATGACGATGGACGACTGTTTTTATTTTTATATGCAAATCCGAACAGTTTGGTGCATGGCTTGATGTATTTGAAAATTTGTGTGAAACAAAGACAAAATTTCAGCATCTTTCAGTCAGGTTTAATAAAGGAACCACACGAATTTTTATAGATGCAGTCAAAATTGTGAAGTAAATTGGTTTTCAAGCCCACTTGAGGCGCAAAAAAAACACAATTGAGCGCCAAGACAGACAATTCTGTTTTCTGATAATTCAGTAATTCTTTCTTTTTGGGGTAATGAATTCATTGTTTTCTCATGCATATTTTACTGTTAAATTTTAATGCTCGTGATTAAAATTGCTTTAAAAACAAGTTAGAGATAAAAGAGTCGTTTAAACTTCCACTATAATGTAAAACTTCAATCTACAACTGCTCTAAAACCGGGGTACTTAAATGAAGTCAGAAGCGTCATTACTCTATTATTTTATTTTACTCATAGATCTCATTAGTGATTAAGGATTATATGTCCGGCACTCGTAGCTGCTTGGTTGCGGTCATGTTAGGACCCTCAGCAATCATCGGCTTTTTTTGGAGAGGATATATAATACCTTAGCACGCATTCTTCTATTCTCCTCTGCCAATTTTGTGTAGAAATACATATATCACATGTTAGTGTAGTTTTTGCAGGAGCTGCCTCACTGATTCATTTTACTCGTAGCCCTTACCTACTATCATATTGCACTTGGTGCTCTCGCGCGTCATCATGAGTTGTATTTCCAACGTACTACAGGGACAGCCATATTTATGGCGACACATCTTTATATTTCTCAAGGAAAATATTTTATCTGTGCATATTTTCTCAATGAAGCAAACAGGTGAATTAATTTTTATTGGATGAGATAACAGCCAAGAACTACCCATACAATTCTCAAACGTATTTGTTCAATATAACCTCCCTTATTTTTAATGATGGCCTCCAACCTACGCTGGAAAGCTTCACAGAAGACTGGCAGCATTTCTTGAGGGATCAATTAGTTCCATTTTCGTTTCAATTTGGACTTCAAACTATCCAAAGAATCATGAGGTGTTGTGCAGGCCCTACTTTCTAAAATAGTCCACACAGAAAAGTCGAGAGGATTCAAATCAGGGCTTTTTGAGGGTTATTCATTTTCGCTAATGAACGCTGGGATGTGACTCTGAATCCAGTTTTGTTGTGCCTGTTTGAACATGTGATTGGACATAGTCTTGTTGAAAACTCCATGGTGAGCCGCTGAAGTGTTTACGGCCCCAAAAGGTAACAACTCAGCTTCCAAAATGTCCAACATGTAGCGCTGACTGTACAATTTCACTTCTGAGGAGACAAAAACGAGGGGAGACCTCCCGGCCAGGGGCTGTTACCGCGGCCCAAACCATCACGGATTTTGACGTCTCGTGACTGGTCTGGTTGCTGCAGATCCATCCCGACTCCAAACTCTGTCATTTTGACGGTTAACGCTTTATTAAATATCAAATTTCTTCTAGTCACTGAACACCAAATTGAACAGCATGCCATCCTCAATGAGATTCAGAATGTGCTAACATCTTTCGAGTCTCATTCGGTCATGACAATCTGTTAGTTCATGGTGGTCACATTAAATAAATACGTTTGAGAATTATTAAAGTAGCACTTCGTTATTAGATCACCCAATAAAGAATTAATTCACCTGTTTGTTTCATTGAGAAATAAGAAAAAAATGCGTTGGCATATATCAGGCGGACCCTGTATATTGTATACAGCGTAGGAAGATCCTTCTGTCATCCACCAATGTAGTGTGGCGGGCCACTCATAACGTAGAAATATGTTCCTAATAAAACTCAAAAATTAATATTCTTCTGATGAAAGCTGTAAAGGCTGCATTGATTCTTTCTGGTACGGTATCAAAGAGAACAAACTGTCTTTATTCGAACCCACTCGAGAAATTTGTTAAGCAAAACTGTTTGGCAATGGTGTTGAAATTCACATTCAAAGCCGTTCACAGGTCATTAATGTCGTCAACTATATTTTTCTCTCGTTGATGTTTTCGCTCGTAATACCGACCAAAGACCAGAAATTTTGATCTCTTATTTATAAATCTTACTCGACATTGAAATGAACTTAATTGGAGACTCGCCTAACTACAAATTTGCCTACGTTATCGGCAAGTACGTTGTTGGCAAATCGAGGTTATGGAGGATATTTTTTTACGAAAATCGTTGTAGTCATTTTTCTAAACTACGAGATTAAACACATCACAAATAATTCTTTTAGGGGTTGTTGAAGTTATCTAAGATCTCCTTGTCGGGACAGTTCTTCTCCATCCAAACTTTGAATCGCTCCTGCTGTTTCTCCGACAATACTTCCTTCCATCCGCCAGACGATCCTGCAATTAAAAAGAATTTAAATACTTATGCTCATACTTTATCTACAAACACAGCGTATTTCCTTACCTGAAAGAAGACATGATGTGATCAACTGAGCATTCGATAACTTACAATTTGACTGCAAGAAAAAAGTTAATTTAATTGGCAATGAAATATGAAACATAATATTCAACCATTCAAGTATCCGCGTTCGAAATAAATTTCGCGGATTTTTCTCTTTTCCTGATTTCCACTCACTTATGCGTGATCTTAAACCATTCATTCTCTAATCAGGAATTGTAACTATTCGTTAAAAAAATTCTATTTAAAAAAAATACTACAAAAATCCATCACATCTCAATTGGCATCGTTGCAGTTCTCTTCCAATTCCACCCTCATTTCTAAAATCCTAGAATACAAGTACATACTTTCAGTCAACACAACTAAAACTCAGTGAACATGTCAAAACCATGAGAACATATAAATTAACGAATAAATTACATGGCAGCGGGAAATGACCGCTGGCAAACATACTTTTTAATTTACAATTGCTTGTGGATAAGAATTAAAGGCAGCATTCAAACTAGGCTTCTATTTAAGCTCCAAAGCTGAAATTTCTGATAGGAGATATAAAATTTTAAGGGTTAAAATAAAAAGAATACCGGGACGTTGCACCGCTCAGCGTGAAGACGTAGAACCGAAAGAGCGCTCTATATAGTAGATGTCTTCTATGATTTCTCACTTGGTCTAAGTGATACAACGAAGTTGTTCCCTAGCGTGATAATCAGAACTTTGTTTATTGTTCTTTCCCATATTCTGGTCCTTCCTCCGAGACTATGTAAAATGAATTAAGTTATAATCATAAATATAACTTATGAATATAACTATATATTGCTAAATCATAAATCACCATGCAGGATACTACCCGAATCTGCTGCTGGTTATGATTCAGATCAATCGAAAACTTTCGGTCTAATGTTTGTCAAGGCTAACTCTGGACATTCAAGCTCACATAGCCACATCAACTCACCATAAGACCTTAAAGTCCCCCAAGATGTCTCGTACCCAGAGTTATTTCAGGGACACCAACCCAAGGCCATGCTGGAAGCACCACCTTCGACGGCTACCATGCGCCACCCGCCAGCGACCTTAAGAAATAAACTGAGCTTCCCAAGACTAGAACCCACGGATGAATCCTGTCATCTCGGTGCCGCCATTACTGCGCGTACAAGCATTGACGCTAACCACTGCGCTACAGTGGCGCTAACCACTGCGCAACAGTGAAGCTAACCACTGCGCTACAGTGAAGCTAACCACTGCGCTATAGTGAAGCTAACCACTGAGCTACAGTGAAGCTAACCACTGCACTACAGTGAAGCTAGCCACTGCACTACAGTGAAGCTAGCCACTGCACTACAGTGGCGCTAACCACTGCGCTACATTGACGCTAACCACTGCGCTACAGTGAAGCTAACCACTGCACTATAGTGAAGCTAACCACTGCGCTACAGTGAAGCTAACCACTGCACTACAGTGAAGCTAGCCACTGCACTACAGTGGCGCTAACCACTGCGCTACAGTGAAGCTAACCACTGCTCTACAGTGAAGCTAGCCACTGCACTACAGTGAAGCTAGCCACTGCACTACAGTGGCGCTAACCACTGCGCTACAGTGAAGCTAACCACTGCTCTACAGTGAAGCTAACCACTGCGCTACAGTGAAGCTAACCACTGCGCTACAGTGAAGCTAACCACTGCGCTACAGTGAAGCTAGCCACTGCGCTACAGTGAAGCTAGCCACTGCACTACAGTGAAGCTAACCACTGCACTACAGTGAAGCTAATGTGGTGAACAATCTGGATGTGAAAAAGATTATGAACGGTAATGTTTGATTAACAGACGAACTAATGGACATGAATATGCGGAGGTTGACACTTACATGATAGCAAATAAACACATCACTTTTTCCAATTTCTTTTGTTAAAAGCGTATCAAGAGGCAAATACATTTCCATGTATAGGACTTCTGTCAGAACTTGAATAATTTTATTTGTATGGTGAATGCAGGTTTTTCATTAAAATCAACACATACTATTACACGCAAATTATATTAAAAGCGATCTAACTATCACAAATCCACATTACTATTCCATAATTGCTATCGTTATTAAGCTACATAAACTCGGAACCTAGTTGCCGAATAGGCTCCATCAGGATTAATATATCTATAAACACTATTTATTGTCAGACATATTCTATATGATTTTAAATTCATGGAAAAAAATAGCCAACACGTTTGGAACGAATTATCAAATCCCTGTACTAATGGAGTCGTAATTCGCTTGTTGATTGTCTTTAGTTAAATTCAGAATATTGCAAGTCATCTTCAGTCATGATATATTATTTAAATGACCATATGGAGTAAATTCTAGCTTTTTTATTGTTCGTTTATTTGTTCAGCTGCAGCCTTGAAATGATTATAAATTTTAAGATGAGGTCATGGAGTTTCAAAATTCTTTTTTACCGCTTCGTATTATTTGGAATCTCATAATACCGAGTGGTATTTTTTCAATATTTATGGTATATTATCTAATCACCAGACAAGCCTGAAAAATTTGAGAGCAAAGATCGTTAGGAATAAAACATTCTAATATTCTTTTAACAATATACCGCACTGTTGTTGAAAATCAGAATTTTTCCACTTTTAACTGCTGTATAAACTTTATTTAGTGTTCCCGGCTGATTTCTTTTGCTGAAGCTGGACGTTAATGGATTCCAAACACGCATTGCTAATCCATCCTCAACTGCAAAAATAATCGCTAATTTCAAATTCATCCCTAAAAATTGTGAGCCCACGATCAATCGATGAAAAGGCTGTTATGAAAGTTCACTGAATTTACATGTTGACGATTTTAAAGCAGCACTCTGCTTTGACTTGGGTACTTTTTGAACTTTCTTGTGTTCCGAAACGTTAAATAAGTCCATGTACAGTACATTAATGCGTGATAGAAAATACTACAATATTCAGTACGTGTTCCAAGATTTGAGATGTCATGTATGGATGGTAGGATATAGCGGGCCTCCAATAGCTAATGCTAATCGATTTCCTTCGTAATTGCGATAAGTTTAGAAAGTGGAACACTCGAAACTGTCTATCAGAACCATGCGCACCGTCATTCAGACTCGATGAGAGTAGGAATTACGACTTAATTGGGATGTGATTTGTGAGAGAATGCGAATAACAAGTTTTAAAGCGAAGCGGTTGTCCGTGTTGATGGGAAAAACCTTGGGTCGTTTAGGGTATAATCAAGTGACGCGCTACGTGGGTTACGAACCGGACTATAAAATGAGTCGAGCATGAGAGAGAAAGAGTCAATCCAGTCTGGAGTCTAGTCTCGATCAGTTGTCTCGAGAGAGCTAGCCAGTTGCGTGGGCGAACGGAGTATTGTGAGGTGATCGAGACGTGGTTTAGGCGCAGAAGGACGGTGGTACGGTAGTTTCACAGCTCAACGGAACGACCACGTTTATCTACCAGATTGAAAAGACAACCGAGAAGATTGGGAGACGCTGAAAGCAGATCGCGGAAACTATAACGTGACCGATTCAAGTTTAACGACGTTCTTCTAGACGGCTTTCGTTGATCAACAAATGATGAAGGAACTACTCGACAGTCCACGTTCCAGCTTCGTTTCGACTTAGCCGTTTTTTCGGATCTCCAGTTCCGGGATTTGACTCCACCGAAGGTCGAGAGTCAGAAGCATCAAGTACACCATCGAGGAGACGCCAACACTTGGTCTCGCTACGGCCAACACGAGGATGCACACAAGGATCCTCTAATAACTGCAGCGGAGCAAATCACTGAGAAGTCTACCAGCCCACGTCTCCGTCCCGAAGCCCGGTGAAGTACCCGTTAGGAATTTAATGGAGGCAGAGCTGTTATTTGCTTAAGGTTTGTGTCTAATTATGTTTATTGATCAATTTTATAAGTGACGATAAACCGTGTTACTGACCAGAATGCTGTTTAATTCATGTACCTCAGTACTTAGGCCTCTAGATGATTTATTACGCCCGTGAAGTAGATGTCGTACGTATCGGTGATACAGCTCTGTAATAGGCATCTGATTTTCTCCATAATATAGGAAGCCTAATCTTTCATTGTGTTGTTATTCTTTCTTTTGTTGATTCGTGACTGCTGGGTCGAGAACTTGTGTATGCGCCTAAATTGTAACAACTGTGACCAAACCAACCTGACAAACCTATCGAGTTACTCGGGGGCGCAGCCGAAGGCCACAAATTTTACTCTTAAATAAGCCCTGGAGCTAACGCCTAGCTTCACCATGCATTAACTTTACTCAGCCTCAGAACTAGAAGTCGCAGATTACGCTTGAACTCCGTAATCCAAACAAGCGACACACTGCCGAAAGATAATAGCGCCGTTGGTCTTCAGCCAATGCTTAAGCATGCTCGCTCATAAGCAGGCAGTTGGCCATCCGGCTGTACCCACTCCGGCCTAACCTATTCACGCTGTCCCGGCTCACAACCTTCTTGCAGCCAATGACTAGCTCTACCAGTACACTTGAACTGCCTTTCTCACTTCTTGCAGCCAATGAGGTTAGGTTAGGTCTGCTCAGGTTTGTTTTGGGTGGAGAAAGGTTGCAGCACGTATAGGTTAGGCCAGAGGAGGTTTGGCCAGATGCAGTATGGCCATATTTACCTATGGCAAGCTTATTTTGTGGCTGTGGACATCCGGTGCTATGGCTTTGTGCACTTGACTTCATACGCCGTTATGCACTCGACTTCATAGGCCGTTATGCACTCTATGAGTTCTTACCTATGGAAAGGAATATGAACTAAGTATGAAGTTTGGCAAAGCTGGCCTCCGGAATGCGCCCCGAGTTACTCTAGAGAGAAAGATCGAAATAATAACAACAAATGGCAAATCCCTGTCTCTCTTTAACTACGCACCAAAACTTCAATTAGACTCACGTTTTAAAATATCTTTGTGGTGAAAGGGTGCAAAGGTTTAGCTTAACTTGAATGGTATTAATGGTTAGGAATATCTCTGCCCACCTTGTCAATTTGTTCCTCGTTCAGGTCGACACCCAGAAACTTGCTGAGCTTCGTGAACTCCGCCTTGGGATTTTTCTTCATCTTCTCGTAGAAGAGGACGAGCATGTTGGGCAGGTGGCGACGGTCCCAAGCTGCCTTCACGTGTGCCCAGTACGGCCCGTATGTCACTGCCGACGATACGGGGATATGATTTACACTGCAACTCAGGCAATTATTGACCTGCGTTGGTATGATTGTTCATATAATAAGCATTCATTTAAATAGTATGAATTGAGCGAAAAATAGGGGGACTCTTAAAGCTTCCATCATTATGTTTTTGCAGATAATTAACAATTATATTAAATTTTTTGTGAAGTGATTAATAACTGGCGCTTTTTTTCTTTGTAAATGTTTTCTAGTCATCACACGTTGTACTTCCTACAACAGTCAACTAGGCGCACACTTCGTCCATGAAACGACAGTCCCGTGGCTGAACATCTTTATGATCCTGAATAGTTATCGAGTTATCGTCTTATCGACGTGTATATTAGCCTACTGACCACATTTTATTGCGAATCGTTGTTACTTTTGAAAATTGCAGAAAATTACATTTGGGCCGTTCTTGAAGGCGCTAAATGGTTTTTATCTGGCATTGCCACTCTGATCATAGTGCTGTTATTTAAATATAACCAAAATTTAGGTAAAACCGATTCCAGTATGCGCCACCACTCAGTTACTGCAACCGATATTTTGTTATAAAAACCTTAGGTATAGATCGAGAAAAACTCGAGAAGGGTTTACTTTTTGTTTTGGATTCAATCAAAGTTCGATTGCATCCTGACCAGCAGACCGACTCTGCGTTTCCATTGAGAGGCAGATAATGCCTGCGATATGAGACCTCTCTTCTCAACCGCCAACAGTGTGCTTGATACTTTTTCAAGCCACAACGATGCAATTTAGAGATTTTTTTTGAAATCCAATTCAACAATTAATTTTTCAAATCCTTGTTTTGGAAATTAAACGAAATAATTTTAATTCTCATTTAACGAGAAAATTTAGATCAAGTGTGCTCACAGTTAAATGAAGCATGTGTATTAAATTCAATTAAACTTTCGCTATGACCTCCAATAGGTAAATTAAAAATTAAATTCCGGATCTAGGTAACGTCTCGTAAACGATAGGTATCGTGGATACGCAGCCAAATGGCGCCAAAATATTTTCGATTCCAGGCTTCAAGGCCAACCATAATTCTGCATAAATGTTATTAAATATTAATGCAAATTTTGTTTTTAAAAGCCACATATTTTAAATCAATTTGAAACATTCAGATTATACGAAATCTCTGGTCTTTATCTGCAGACTTCGTATGATCAGACATTTTATGTGTAAACAGTCCACGATATACATGTTAATAAGTCGATATAAAATATTAAAAGGGATTTACCTGAGTCTTCAAGGAAGGCATCGACGTATTGATCGAGGGTTCCAGTGAAACCTTCGTACTTGAAGAGGCGCGAGTGATGGTGATACGAGAGGCAGAGGTCTCGAGGGTCGCGGATAGTGTACACAACCTGAAGTAGAATAGTTAACCCTATCTTGAGAAGGAACAGTGTTATAAAATTATTACTATTGTTAATTATTGCAAGAAATCTCTTTGAGAAATAGAGACCAGGGTGGCTGAATTGGGTGACCCAGCCCCCAGCCTGATAATTGGTGGGGACTTCAATCTCCCACGAATCCGTTGGACAAGCCCTGATGGTTTAGAGGTCGATGACCGCGACACAAGTCAACAAGCCACCTGTAAAGTTTGCAGCGGAACACTTGCGCAGCCAGCAGGTACGGTCGCCGGCAAGAGAATACAATATCCTCGATCTCATCTTTACTAATAATGAAAGAATGGTGGTTGACGTCCGAGTTGAAGAGACCTCACTGTCTGACCACCGCTTAGTGTTGGTGGAAACGACAATTGGAATTGAAACTCTGCCCAGGTCTATATCCCAAGAGGGACTGGCAGGACTTAACTTTCACAATCGAAGAACGGATTGGGGGGCAATTTGGAATGAAATTGACGAAATCGATTGGAGGGCGGAGTTCCACGAGATGAATGCTGAGGAAATATACACAAAACTGTGTGAGAAACTAGCACAGGTATATGTGCGCCATACCCCGAGAAAAACAGGGCCCAAAGTCCCCAGCATTCCGAGAGACCGACGAATCCTTATGAGAAAACGCAAGCGAAAAAATAAACAAATAGCTGAATCCACTGGTGATATGAGAAGACAGAGGCTAATAGATTTGCACAAGGAAATTGAACTCAGGCTGCAGGTCTCGCACAGGATGGAAAAACAAGCCGCGGAAGAGCGAGTGGTTGAGGTCATCAAAGAGAACCCCAAGTATTTTTTTAAATATGCTCAGTCCAAGGCTAAAGTAAAGACGCCAGTAGGCCCGCTTAAGGATAACGAAGTCATTGTCGGAGATGACCATGGCATGTGTGAATTACTGGGATCACAGTTTGAATCAGTGTTCAGTAACCCCCGCTACTCAAGGGAGGAGAATGAAATTGAAGTTCTCAAGGAGCTGCCAGGCGGTAGAGGGTTGGAGAACATTGAGTTTGGACCAGAAGACATGGAAATAAGTATCAAAGAACTGGCGACGTTTTCAGCACCAGGACCCGACGGAATTCCGGCAGTGCTGTTGAAGAAGTGTGTTGGAGCACTGAAGGCTCCGCTCACAATGCTCTGGAAAGCCTCGATAACAGAGGGAATTATCCCTGAGGGTCTCAAAGTGGGACTGATAACGCCAACCCACAAAGGAGGTCCGAGGGACAGTCCCCAAAATTACAGACCTGTGACCTTGACCTCACATGTGATCAAGGCTTTTGAGAAGGTAGTGGTCAGGTAGCTTGTCCGGTATATGGAAGAAGCTGACCTGTACAATAACGGACAACATGGTTTCCAGCGTAATCGATCCTGTTTGTCGCAGTTACTGGAGCACTATCACCGTCTTGTGGCCCAGCTGGAGGAGGGAGCTGGCGTGGACGTGGTATACCTAGACTTTGCTAAAGCTTTTGACAAAGTTGACCATGGTGTGCTCTTTAGAAAGCTGAGGCTGTTGGGGATAGGAGGAAGCCTGTTGAGGTGGATCCACAACTTCCTCACAGATAGAGTACAAACTGTCGCAATTGGAAACTCTGAATCGAAGGTGAAATCTCGAGTGCTGTCTCGAGTGTTAACAGTGCCGCAGGGCTCAGGACTTGGACCGATCCTCTTCCTCATCCACATTGCCGACATAGACTCGGAAATCACCTACGCATCTACATCATCATATGCGGACGATACAAGGGTGCTGATGAAGATCACTGATGGCCTAGACTGCGAGAGGTTACAGGATGATCTATCGTCAATCTACGATTGGACCCTAGTGAACAATATGCAGTTCAACGGTACAAAGTTCGAAGTAATGAGATATAGAGTCCGCACAGAGATCGGGATGCCACATCGCTACTTACATCAGATGGCACAGAAATCGAGGGGAAGCAACTAGTTCGACATCTCGGAGTGTTGATGAGTACTGAAGCCACGTTCGATGCCCACATCGAGGAAATAGTCGAGCGCAGCCGGCAACGGATGGGGTGGATATTGCGGACATTTCGAACGAGAGAAGCAGGGCTCTTCAGAGCCCTCGTGCTCCCCAATCTTGAGTATTGCTGATAACTTTGGTCGCCACACAAGGCGGGTGCGGTGTGGAAACTAGAGGCAGTGCAGCGGACCTTCACGTACAGGATCAGCGGCATGAGGGAGCTGAACCTGGACTACTGGGACAGGCTGAAACACCTGGGACTGTACTCACTGGAGAGGAGAAAAGAGAGGCATATCGTACTGTATACATGGAAGATGATAACAACGAAATGAGGGGGAGACAGTGCAGGGTTCCCCCATTTAACAACCGAGCCGCGGCCAGAGGACAGACTCTTCGTGAGGGATCACTGTCCGTGTTAGGACCGAGGCTTTTAATGCCTCTCCAAACGCGCTGAGAGGAGGGGAGTTCACCCTTGCAACATTCAAGAGACGACTGGACAAGTGGTTGAGAAAGACCCCGGATTGTCCAGTAATGGGAAACTACCCTCAGCAAGTGACAAGCAACAGCATCTTGCATCAGCTGCTGGCCCAAAGGAGGGCAAATAGACGGAACACGTCCAACGTTTTATCCGGGACATGAGGGCGGGTTGACCTGCCTATCGACGACGCGGAGACGGAGGACGACGAAGGCGGCGCACCAACGTGACCGGGGACTTGGAAGTCCCGAACTCATCATAATGTCATAAGGTAAGGTCACTCACGCCGCACCGTGCGACGTTCCAGTGTCCGACACTGACTTTAAGGTTTTAGCTTCTAGTTCTGTTGCATCCGATCTACGTATTTTGGAATCCTTGTATATTTTTAAAGAGAGGCCTAGTTTAAATGCTGCCTTTCGTTCTTATCTACTAGAAATTGTGAATAGATAGGTATTTACTTTATTACTCAGCCCTTTGCCTGTGAATTTGGGTTTATAATTTCGGTATTTTTTTAATCAAAACTTTATTAACTTTTGATTGTAGATTAACTTTATGTTCCAGATTTATCGAACTGACGATGTAACTGGACTCCGAAACGTTTTCAATATAGAGATTAGCTGAATTTTGTGGCGTTTTCTGTGCTTTTAATTTCTAAAAAATCGCTGTTAAACGGTCTCACCGGCGTTCTAGTAGCCGGCTGGCAAATGAAAATAAACACCGTATGGCCGTTTTTTTTCAAATTTAACACTAGAAACCCGTACAACATCTGAAAAAAACGGATAAACGGTTTATTTTCACCGCCCACTAGAACGCCGGTGAAACAGTTTTTTACCGTTTTTTTAGAACAGTGAACATCTGGGCAATGGCTATTCACCGTCTTTCATTTAAATCGCGCTTTGCAAGATAACTTGGATTGTCGCGGCTCCGGTAGATTTACCACTTTTGTGGCGTACCGTAGCTGCCTAATCGCGGGTCCGAGGACAGTAAGGATCAAAAAAGACGATCTTCGTTTCTTTCTTTACTATCCAGCTATCCTCTTGCCACGCTGAAATCCTGCACATTAGAATTTCTATAAGATACATTGAATAAATTTGTGATTCTAAGAACGTTTAAATGGGTAAAGTTAAAGAAATCAATTACATAAGAGTAATATTCGGAATGTACTACATCATGAAATAACGACAAATCAAAACTACTTCAATGTTAAACGAGCTTGTAGGATGAGCATTTCACGATTCTCTATTTTTAATTTAAGGATTTATGAATTGCGTTCTGACTTCAGATACGAGGACATCGAATAAATCCCTGCACATCGGTTCCAAAATTCTCATCACTTGAATCTAAATATGAACACATGTACGACAAGTAGCTCGACTGAGTCGAGTGAGGCGTTGGCCTGCCGCGGCTACCTTGCCCAGTGCTATAACGGTCTGCCGCGGCAGAATACATTCAGCGTTTACATTTTAATTTAACACGTTCAAGTGAACGTGACATGGATAACACGTTCAAATGAATGATTTTATCCGTATATTTTTAGAAGGTAGTATCAACTTTCTCCACAGTTGTATTCTGAATAATTATCAAAAATTTTAGCGAAAATTTACATGTTCACCCACGATTAGTAACAATTAATGGTAAGAAAGTCGCATCTGATCTTGCATTTCCATGATTCTTATTCATGGTTTTGTGTGGACACAATCTTGCTGAATGAGGGCATGAAATTTTTGAAAAGAAGTTGAATCGTTTCTAAGTGAGTGCACGGCCGTGACAAATACTCATACTTGTTTTCAAAGCTCTTGTCGAATTTCAATCAAAGAAAAATATGGGATTTGGATGATATGCGAACCTTAATTTTATTTTCAAATTACCAAAATGAATGTTTGTGCTGTCATTTAACAATTAATTTTAGACCGCCAAATGTGACTAACCGTATCTAGCAAGTATAGGATCCCATTAATTGGCCAGTAAATGCTCAGTGTGTGCACATTGATGTGAAATGTTTTTTAAACAACTCGAAATGTTCAATTAATGTCCTGATGTTCAATTAGCCCAAAAACTTTGAAAAAAATGTTGTCACTTTCAAAGTGTCACTTGCAAAGCTTTGCCACGTTCACTCTTTACCATGATGGAAATTCACAGTTGCATGCGGAATTATGATATGATCGTTGAGAAAGAAGCAGGACGATGGAGCAGCAAGAGAGCTACGCATAAATTGAAGGGAAGAGTAGGAATGAGTAATGATTGTAAGAAGACTTTGTAGCATCATGTGACCACTAAATTTTCAGAGCAGTGTGGTTGAACAGTGATAATAGCTTATAAAAACGAATTACGCTATAGATGTACGTAAAATTAAATTCAAGTGAATGGAATACAAGTGAATAATACAAGACCCGAATAGGTAGGCTTATAGCGCTGTCAGATTTTTACTATGAGAATTGGGCTGAAATTATTTTATTTTTTTAATAATTTCTTAACGTATCATAATAATGTAATTATTATTATTTAACTAATACCTTTGCCTTTGAGAGTGCCGTGTCCGAGATGAAGGTGAAAGAGAGATGCGTTTTGAAAATTCGCGGTCTCTCCGCGGCCCTTGCGATGTTGATGAACACGCCCTTGTTGGGATCCTTGCCCTGTTCCTTTGTTAGCTCAGCAAAACCTCCCTTCTGGTCGAGGCTTAGTCCTTCAGCAAGAATGTCAGCTCTGGAGGAACATGGGACTTTCAGTTCACTTCCTTGTTACAATAAACTATTACATATTTCGGTCTTATATCAATCAAATTACACATTTTGGTGTCCGAACTTATCCATCGCACTAAAAATCGGTGCTACAATGTATATTTAAGTCCAATCGTATTCCTTGTCGGATTTTTTAACAAATTAACTAACTCCTCACTCCTCAGTAACCAGATGCATGTTCCCCGTGTGATATATCATTAAAGTTACCAGTTCCCATTCAGCTGTGTGTCACTTGCTCTTTGTTAGACGGCTACGTGTACCATAGTCCGCTGTAATTTTCAGCTCGATAGAACGAGTATAATGGGTCTTTAAAGTTATTTTTTTTGGAAATTTGGCAACGATGTGAAGAAATTCCAGATAATACCGTCATACTGAAATACCGAGCTCAAGCTTTACTCGAGAACGGGAGATCGCACGTGGAGAGGAAGACTGCTGGCCGGGTTATCGAGGTTGGGGTTCTTTCTCATGGTCCAGACGTGAAGAAATTCCAGATAATACCGTCATACTAAAATACCGAGCTCAAGCTTTACTCGAGAACGGGAGATCGCACGTGGAGAGGAAGACTGCTGGCCGGGTTATCGAGGTTGGGGTTCTTCCTCATGGTCCAGACGGCCTCTTGAGTCCAAGTGGTGCCTGCTTTCGGCACAGTCATCACGAGGACGTCATTCTCTTCGAACTGCGAACAAATTACGAGTAGCCCTTGATCATCTTCATTTGTACGTATGCGATTTCATCAAAATCGCAAGTTCCACATTTTCATTGAAAAATGCCAGTCATTTCAACAATAACATTTGTTCTCCACATGTTATAAACCTTCAATTGTGTGCTTAGAAAAATGCTTAACTCTGGGTTCAGTGGGTCAGTCAGTTGAAATTTTTAAAATTTTTGCTTATATCAGCTGCACCCACGGAATAATGAATGAAAGAACCATAGAATGAACATAAACAAACCTCAAAATCCTTAATTTCCTGGCAATATTTCTTCATGGCCTGCGGGAGGTACCAGCCGTCAGGCTGCAGAGTAAAAGCCCCGGTGTAGTGTCCTGTGAAAAGCTTTTCGATCTCAAGCTGACGAGGCGTCAACTCCACGATCTTTTGGCCCGTCGGCAGTGCCATCTTCCTGAAAAATTATAAAATGACTGAGAAAATTGTGTTTTATTTGCTAATTCATACACATTTTGAATCACCGTACGGCACTACAAAAATCCGCAATGTTGTCATGTAAGACGGAGAGGCAACTCCAAGTGTTGCACAGGCAGAAGGCTGATTAGAGCGTCGGAAATTCTGAGTTAAATAAAGTTACAAATAAATAAATAAAGTTACATATACTGTATAGAACGTTGTTCTATGGTAAATTAATTAATAACTTGAGTTATGAAAGATAATTCAAGTTAGAGTGAAGGTGCAGAGAAGGCTATCTTAATAGCTGAATTTGGTTTGAAACTGTAAAGCTTGTATAAGACGCGATTAATTGTTCTCTAGACCGTGAGACCGAGGGTTTGTTTATAGTTTGGGGGGGGCGCCGAGGTTATCAAAGGGCTGACCTTGTGGAACTCGAAACTGCCGCGGCGTGCCGTGGTAGGCTTACGTGTGCGCGACGTCCTATTATATAAGCATCCTAAAATTGACACTAAAGGTTGTTCTTCTGGGGCAGGGTGGCCCAGTGGGGAAAGTTCAGAGTACCAAGATTGGCGCAGAGAGACGCGGGTTCGATCCCAGCTCTGTGCGCCAGTTTCTGGTCAGAATCGGCAAGGAGGCCGGGCGGTTAAGCACAGCAGAATTGTAGCAGTGAGTTGCGAGTTCGAGACCGCAACAAGCTGTGGATGTTCTGCGATGTTAAGAATCGGCGACAGGCCTACGGCCTACTAAACGCTGAAACCGCTATTATTATTATTATTATATTCTGAAGTCACTGTCACGCCAGTATGGTCTGCAGCGGCGGCGGGTCGCAAAATAACGGCCCGACAACAATATAAACATATAGCAGGGCGACAACCACTCAATTATGCTGTAATGTTTTCATACTTTTTTCCTTATGGATTGACAGCGCTTGTGTTACCAACGCACTTATTTTACATACAGCTTTGATTTACTACGCTTGCTTACTATATTAAGATAGACGGATTATCCGGATTGATAGGAACCAATGTAAGCAACTGAGGAAATATAGTATTCTTCAACTGATTATTATTTTATGTTCCTACGCGTAGGATAAATAACTTTTCCTGCTTGTAAACTTTTAACCTCGTTTGCATCGAGTATTTAAGAAATTTTTATCAATATGTGCTAGTGTCCTTATCGCTTTATTTGTACAATACTTTCCTTCTGTTGAGTCGCTGCAAATCAACAGTTAGAGGCGATGATGGGACAATCTATACATTCACCTAGCTTTTAACTTACGTATGTGCCAATCATTATGATTAAATAAATAGCTATGGAATTCACTTCCTTCGCAACGTATGGACTCGCAAGCACTAATTCAAACAATATAAAATGCATGGCCTCTACAGGCAATAAAGAAAGCTGCGAATTATTTCACAAGGCGTAAGCCACTATATAAATTTTGCTAAGAATAACAGCGATCTGAGTAACACGAAATCAATATTTCGAAAATTAAACTCGTATTACTACATGTAACACGAGGGCTTTGCAGCTGCGGGACAGCCTCACTACTTACTAGCTCACCACGAATTACTGGAGAGGAACTGTACAACAAGTTGCTTCAGCAAACACTGACAGTATTGCACTGGGCGTCGCATACTCCTGCCAGTATTATTATGCTAGGCACCCGCTTAACAAGGAGCTGTTCTCAAGGACGACATGTTAGCTGCGAACGGTGCCAAAAATATCCCAATGCATAGAGTCTTATAAACGAGGCGATTTAATAAAGATTATTCGCTACATGCAGAGATAATTATATTTTTATTATAACATACTTTAAAACTCTAACAAGCGTTAGAGATGATAAAATACACTTTGAAATTATGAATGCTATTACATGGAAGCTCCATAAACAATTCCGGGCTTTTTTAGATGAGCTCCTGAGCTTCAAACATTAAAAGGATAACCTAAATGAACAATATTTATTGAGCCCCTGAAATGCATGAGAATTATTTCAATCCATTTGCATTTTACTTCGATTGATAATGAATTAATCTGATGGATCTTTTAATTCACTTAGTGAATTTCTTCAAAAAAATTATTTAAAAATTATTTTTAAAAATGTAAAATTTTCGAAGAATTAATGGCTTCGAAAAAAATTAATGGCTTCTCATTAAGGCTTCGAAGTGTCACTCATATTGAGTGCAAAAAAATTAAGTATTAATTCCTTACGTTGGTCATCAAATCCAGGTATTTAATTTAATGCTATAGCATGCAAGTACTTGAGTAAAAACTTAAGTATGAAAATGATGTATTTACAAGTGCCATCATACAAGATATCATATAGTGGTTTGTTTACAAATAATCGCGCGTCTCTATGATTGCGTTCTCCCTTTTTGAAGAATTACAAAAACTACGAAGCAAGTTGTGTGTTTCTCATATGATGTTTGCGGCGATGGTATTTAGTACGTACGTGATTTATTTACAAAGCATCAACACACAGGACACAGAAAGCCTCTTGTTTAAGTACAAGTCGTTCTGTGTAGGTAACAGTGGCGTCCGCCGTTCACAACAATTCTGGGCGCCGTTCACTCTTGTGAGTTGTTATGTTTACTAGTCGTATGTCTTCAAAGTCCAAGCTAGCTAAGGAGGAAGATGGACAGAGACGAGACTATACGTTTAGGGAACTGTATTTGGTGGAATCTGGTTTACAACTGAGGCATAAAGGCTTGCTGGCCTTACATGACCTACTATTGACACTAGAGTAGTTCTACTTGAATTTGATCCTAAAACGTAAACACGTAACATGAGTGACGCCGTCTAAACAAAATCTCTCATCGATGATTATTGGGATTTTGGCCTGGTTTCGTTGTCCGAGTTCGTGAAACGTTAAACTAAATACTTAATAGAACAATAAACCATTAGATTTTAAACGAGATGCTAAGAACGAGAATGTAATACATTAAATAGTAATATTGGGTATTGAGTAAAATTATTGATTGTAAACTTTGAACGCTATTGTGAGTCTAGCATTTTGGTAGAATTGGTTCAAGAAATTAAAAGGCACAATGGGATTGATCAGAAAATGTTTATTATTGAATTACTGGAGGGGATTTGTTATAGTCTTCAATTTCTATTCGGGCATACAAACTCAAGGATAAGGCGCTATAAAACTATTGTTATGAGAAAATGTTTATTATGGAACTGCTGGAGGGGATTTATTATAGTCTTTAATTTCTATTGCAAACGAACTCAAGGATAAGGCGCTATAAAACTATTGCGTCTTGGCTGCGTCTATGACTAAAAGCAATGTTTAACATAATTTACAGCCCCTTGGTCCTTGTGGCATCAGCATCAGTTAAGAGCAAATTGTACACAGACGTGTACGTGATAGAATGTAAGACGCTTTAGATCCATCAAGGCAAGGCAGATCCAACTGATAAAGACAACACTTATAAATATAATAATAAATAATAATAAAAAGATAATGGGTCATACTGTTTAATTAGTGACACTATTTTACACAGGTGATACTACTCGTATTTCGCACAGCACGAAAAGAGAGATGACGTAGCACTGATACGCCCTCTTTCAGGGCCAGGGTGACCCACAAAAGGGGCAAAAATTACATCGCTATTAGGACAAATTTTCACACATATTTCCCTGAGAGCAGACACGGTTAGCACGTAAGACGTGAAGCAATTTGTTGAACGCAATGTTTTTAGACTATGTGGGGAACCTCGGGTTATTATTGTATTTTATATATACTTTATATTATAATATTCTTGTATTTTCTGTGGCCTGCAATGAGAATCGAGCATGGAAATTATCAGATGAATAGGGCAAAAGAAAAGAGTGATAATAAATATTTTAATGTTGTTGGTTTATATTGAAGCACCTCGGAAATATAGCTTTGTGATACAAAAAGTTTTCGGTAATTTGCGTGAAGTATAAAGTAAAAGACTGTTCGGTCGCTAGGCAAGACCCCAAAACGATGCCATGCATATAGTTGATGAAATATTATCAACGTGATGAATTGTGATCAACGTGATGAATTATGATCAATGTGATGAATTGTGATCAACGTGCTGAATTATGGTCACCGTGATGAATTGTAATCAACGTGATGAATTATGATTAATGTGATGAATTGTGATCAACATGATGAATTATGATCACCGTGATGAATTGTGATCAACGTGATGAATTATGATCACCGTGATGAATTGTGATCAACGTGATGAATTATGATCAATGTGATGAATTGTGATCAACGTGATGAATTATGATCAATGTGATGAATTGTGATCAACGTTATGAATTATGATCAATGTGATGAATTGTGATCAACGTGATGAATTATGACCAATGTGATGAATTGTGATCAACGTGATGAATTATGATCAATGTGATGAATTGTGATCAACGTTATGAATTATGATCAATGTGATGAATTATGATCAACGTGATGAATTATGATCAATGTGATGAATTGTGATCAACTCGATCAATTGTGATTAACGCGATGAATTTTTTATGAACTAATAATGGATGGGATGTATTTGCGCCAACGCCTCATCGATAACAGTTGAATAAAGCTACTATTTTTTTCGCGTTCAAACACAGAAAATAAATAAGTTTCCGGATGAGAATATCAAACATCAAAGCAAAAAATACGGTCGCGTACCAAACGTAATGATTAATGACTTGCTAGGAGGCTGTAAGCGTGTACAATATTAAAAAAATATAAAGTATTTAATTAGAGACTTCATACTCTCAGCACTTGAGACTTTTTAGCGCAATTTTTTCGATACTTTTGGTACTTTTTTTTCTCATATATATATGGAAAAAATACCCTATTGTGCTCGTCATGTCCGTCTGTCCGTGACTTCACGTTTTCGTCGACGAGAAAATGCGCTCTCTGTCAATCACTGCAGTGAGTACTGAGTTATATTTTTTTAAACTGAATGCAAACCTCGCGCCAGTTGCTGTGCCAGACATTGCCAAAATACAGAGATGCGCGGTGCCTGGTCTCTGTGTTGTGGCGCCGACTCTCTGACCTTGTCTGTCGTATCCAACATCGGCATGATGGTGAATACTGCCCAGTCGCCATGAACAGACCATGTATATTTTAGTTCGTTGCTATTTCTGAGCAATCGCACAAGCTCCTTCATTCAGCGACTGCAAACTGTTGAAAACTGTGGAAGTGAAAAAATTGCATTCCCATGTGCTGCATTCGTTGACTGCAAACTGTTAGAAACTGTGGAAGTGAAAAATTGCATTTCCATGAGCTACATTCCGCCACTGGTAACTGCTGTTGAGGTGAAAAAATTGCATTTCCAGTGCTACATTCCGCGACTGGTAACTGTTGTTGAGGTGAAAAATTGCATTTCCATGTGCTACATTCCGCGACTGATAACGGTTGTTGAGGTGAAAAAATTGCATTTCCATGTGACGTCCTTCGCTGAAAAAGCTTACATTCCGACACTCGTAAGCGTATATAACTTGAGTAACTGTCGCCGAACCCAATAATTAACTTGGGAGCAGTTGCTGGGCGCCTGCATGTTTACTTCTGGGACTCGGTGCAAGGAAGGCAACAATACTGGATTTATTGGCAATTATTAACCCCAGCTAATAAGAAGGTTTGCATGTTTGCATTCCAATGGAGATTAAATTAAAATTTCACTATTTATGACTAATGAACACAGAATGACTTTTGTGGTAATCACTATTTAGCGTTTAGCTTACCTGTATGGCAACAGGCAACAGGATAAGTCATTGTGGTAACCCGTTGTACAGTGTTGTTCAGTTCGTAATAAAGCTCAATCTGGGACTCGGTGCAAGGTATAATACATACTTGCATATACACATACGTGTATTTATACAGGTTTGATTGAAGACCAGAGCGTACTTTTTATTAACAATTTTCTTATTGTTTTTTTTCGATATGTTAATAAAAAGTACGCTCTGGTCTTCAATCAAACCTGTATAAATGAAGAACTTCTGCCTAACTACACTAACATACATGTATATACTGAATATACATATATACACACATAATAATTTCCTTTGAGTTCCTCAAAAACAAGCGTGTTAATTTGAAATCAAGTTTCATAAGTAGCCCGATAATCAAAAGGACTTTACCGCAGAATCTTTTCATGGCACCATCATAACATAAGTAACTTGTTAGCGCATTTTCTCATTTATGGAAAATATGCACTATTGTGCTCGCCATGTCCGTCTGTCTGTCTGTCCGTCCGTCCGTGACCTCAAGTTTTCGTCGACGAGAAAATGCGCTCTCTGTCACTCACTGCAGTGAGTACTGAGTTATATTTTTTTAGACTTGCTGCCTGATCGCCTGTCGCGGTCCAGCAGCCACGAGCTGATGCTAGTCGGAGGGCATATTAGCATCTGGGACTGCAGCAGCTGTAATAGCGGTTCTTTCGTTCAAAGAATCAATATTCTGGAGAATATTGACCAACTTGCCATCCACTTCGTTTAATATCATCTCTATTTACATCAATGTAATGCAATTGTCAGAGGTGGGCAGTAGCGCGCTACATTTTCAGTAGCGGCGCTACATTTAAGCAATTGTAGCGGTTGCGGTAGCGCCCGCTATATTTAGAGCATGTAGCGGTAGCGGTAGCGGCCGCTACATTTCAAAGTAGCGCTGCCTCGCTCTGTCAATTGTTGATCAGCTTAATAGTGTAGTTAGAACAAATCGGTCAATGCACGGCGGCGCTTTCTTGGTTCCACTCACGGTGGATGACAGCGATCTCTCCAACTTGCACTTGCTTGGCTATCACTTTCCATTTTTTTATACAGCTTTTGAATATCGTCTTCCATGTCCTTGTATTGTCTCGGGGCTGCTAATGCAAGCGGTCCAAGCTTGCTTGCACCGTTTAATTAGGCCGAAGAAGCTTAGATAGGCCGTTGAAATGGTTCATGCTTAATGCGGATCTACCTATTATTCGTATCACGTCAGTGTCGCTTTATCTCCTGCAGAAAAGATGCTGCGGCAACTTTACTTTAGCGCGGCAACGTTGCTTTGGTAATAGCAGGTGGTCGTCTTAGTCTGTAGCATTGTAATTTCATCTTGAAGCCGACGGATATAAGCCTCCCAGTTTCTTATGCTACGGTTGCGATCGCACGTGTACAACAGATCCAAAGTTGGCGACGGATATAAGCCTTCCAGTTTCTTGACTACGGACACGGTTGCGGTCGTGTTCAACAGATCCAAACTTGAAAAATTTCTGAGACACCTAATGTAATATTCGTATAACCGGGGATAAGTTACTCTGTTGTGCACATTATATTGAATACCAGAGAGTATTTCTCATCAATGATAGTAGTTGCGTTTTTATCAGTTTGGTCTACTATACTTTTTGTAGAATTCGAAAGTACGAAAATGAGGTTGGTAAGGGAATTTTATTATAATAGTACGACATTTCGAGTACACAACATTCTTTATCGAGAAGAAAGAAGGTTGGAAATACCATGCACTCTCAATTTTGTAGGTGTACTCGTTCATAAATAATCCTATTAATTCCAACGTGATGACAATTAAAGAGAAGGTAGAGTTAGTAACGGTGTGCGTGTGTGCATTTGATCAAACACTGAGAATAATGTACATTGTACAGTCACTATGATCGTGCACTATCGGGTCACTGAGAATAATGCACAGTCACTATTATCTTTAATGCAGGTTTCATTGAAGACCAGAGAGTATTTCTTATTGACAATTTTCTCATTGTTTTTCTCTCTTCGGCGAATTAGGCTCTTGATAGGAAGTGAAAACCCAAATATCAGGTTTCCAAGGGACATTTTATTATAATTTTACCACGTTTCGAATGCAACTTCATTCATTATCAAGTATAGGAAGAGTTTCGCAACAACTGAATTTGAATTTTTGAAATGACATTAGTACAAACTTAGGTATTATGGATACAGATTGGTATCAAAGCTTAAATTACGAGAACAGTTTCAACGTCCTGAAAAATCCGGTAGTTTGTAAATTAATAGCTGGAGACTCCTGCTTGATGATGAGAGCCTCAGCTATGGCCAGTCTAAAACCTGATATTTGGATTTTCACTTCCTATCAAGAGCCTAATTCGCCGAATAGAGAAAAACAATAAGAAAATTGTCAATAAGAAATACTCTCTGGTCTTCAATGAAACCTGCATTAAAGAACAGCTTCTGCCAAACTACACAAAAGTCATTATTAGTATAGTATCTTCGGCATTAAATAAATAGGCCTGGATAGGCCTGTCGCCGATCGTGCACTATTATCGTGCACTATCGGGTCACTGGGAATAATGCGCAGTCACTATGATCGTGCACTATCGGATCACTGGGAAACAGCACGGTCACTATCGTAGAGGATCTGGTATCGAACCAACAGGTGACATACTCGTACCATCGCAACCATATACTGTCGAATTTCCGACTGGCTCTATATAAAATAAAAAATTTTGCCTCTTCCGTTTTCTTGGCTTATTTTGTAGCTGCTGAAAAGGCGCGTCTAACGCAACAATCCGCATGTATGTGCGTGCTATAGTTTTTGCGAAAGGCAATTTTAAATATATATAAAATGAACATTTTTAGTGAATTTTCTCATTTATGGAAAAAATGCGCTTGTGTGCTCGTCATATCCGTCCGTCCGTCCGTGAATTCACGTTTTCGTCGATGAGAAAATGCGCTCTCTGTCACTCACTGCAGTGAGTACCGAGTTATATTTTTTGACTTAGTGCATGGTTTAACTTATATATGGGGGGGGGAGTGAGGGTGGTGCAGGGAAAAATGTGGACGCGCATAAAAGAAAACCGAAACGAAAGTTTAAAAATCGGAGCTCTAGAGCCGCTAGATAATTAATTTACGAATCGAATGAAATGTGTTTCGATAATGTAACACGTAAATTTCGGAGGAAGATAACTTTTTAGTGTATCCCATGTTTTGCTGTTTTCTGTTGATTTCACGTTTTCTTTTCAAAAATGTATACAAGCAAATTGTTTTTTACCTTTTACGTACGTGTCTGAAATTTCAGAAAGATCGGTTGATAAACGTAGAAGCTTTCCGGAAAGGGAACCGGTCCCTTTAACAACAACACATAAAAAGATTAAAATCTGTACTCATTTGAAAAGAAACACTTCGTCGTTACGTCACAAATAAGAAAAATATAACTCAGTACTCACTGCAGTGAGTGACAGAGCGCGCATTTTCTCGTCGACGAATACGTGAAGTCACGGACAGACAGACGGACGGACGGACAGACAGACAGACGGACGGACATGACGAGAACAATAGCGCCATTTTTTCATCAATGAGAAAATGCGCTAACAATGAAAAAATTAGCATAATGTAAGTAATGATTTATTTTTCACGCCTAATTCTGAGCAAGTTCCCATATCAAAGTATCGGTATCCATGTTGCACCGAAATTTCTGGTTTATCATCGAATTTTTAGCCTTTCCAACAAGGAATTCATTATTTAGCACCAAAATAAGGACACGGAATAAGATAACAAACTTAAAATTTGTTGTAAGGTTAAATACATAATACATAAAATGTGCTGGAAACCTACAAAAAATATATATATATTTATGTGGGCATGAAGAAATAATTCAATACCAATATTTTTTAGGGCTATGAGAGGAAGCACACGGCATTAGTTTCAATAATAAAAGTGTCTCGAAATAACATGTAATGAATTACATGAAGCATCACATCCAATATACCATGATTTTAATACTTGATATAAAATGTAATGCATAACATGAAGCATCACATACAATATACCGTATTTTATTACCTGTTTAATACTAATTTTTAATGGGAGATTTCGAGATCTACGCCAAAATCACAATTTGGTAATCCCACTTTGGAAGCGCAAGTCAAACATTGAAATTCATTCAAGAAGTTCCAGCATAAGAAAGCATAATTTCCTGGACATATAGAGGAGCATTTGAAACATAAAATAACGTTCAGATCACATAAATGGAAGACCAACAGGTTTGTCATAGAAGTTAAAAGAAAAAGTGATGTGTTATCGACATGGACAGAGCATATTCTATAAGCACTGAATGTCATGGAGAAATTAAAGGCTGCAATAACAGCCCATCCACTCAAGTACAGACTAACATTTCATGTTACTACAATACAGAGTCTAATTACAATATACCTAATAGGAACAACAGAATAACTTAGCGAGGGCATTTCACAGTTGGAAATGATAATCGCAGCCTGCAACTCATACTGAGTATCAAACCAAAGAAGTTGACGTCAAAAGGCTATCAATGCTTTAGTGAGACCGAGGTGTTCAAGAGAATACTTCATTAACTTACAACCATGAAATAATTCTAAAAGATTCGCAACATAAGTTTTTCAAGTCTGGTTGTAATTGTGCATAAATGAAGTGTGAAACGCTAATATTAATATAATTAAGTACGATACGAGATGGTTATACCCTCCTGATAAATGTCTTTAATACCCTTAGTAGATGACTGAATCTACATAAACTGCAGCAGTTACTCAGTGACCTAGACTTCATCTAGTATCTGAGAGGTGTAAGAATATACGTATGTAATTTTTCTAACTATTCTAGGACGTGATTGGTCAACACGGAAATGCACAGATCTTTCAGATTCAAGACTTAAATCCATGAGATAACAATAGGCGCTCGTAGCGACAGCACAAGATAAAAAAATATAAGTAACTCAGTAGGTACTCACTGCTGTTAGTGACAGAGAGCGCATTTTCTCGTCCGTCCGTCCGTGAAGTCACGGAGAGACAGACGGACGGACGGACATGACGAGCACATTAGCGCCTTTTTATCCATAAATGAGAAAATGAGCTAAAAATGGATTCTCTACTTCACTTATTTACCCGTTACAAGAGATACTACAACGGCGTTGGTCCCATCCAGAATGTCATGGCTAGCGAATTATATTAAAAATTACCAATCATCAAGACATTGGCCTTATTTATAATGAAAATTAATTACTAGTCATAAAGTCGCAACAGCAATAATAATTATAGCAAATAAGTTTATCATAAAATGAAGAATGGCTCGAACGTTTGTAAGTTGTGAAGTTTTGAATCAAAACATCCAAAAATTGATGTCTTCTATTCGAAATTAACGCAGCAATGGGCATACCTGTAACAAAATTTAGACAAAGATTTTTATTTATGTAAGTTTTTCGCCTTGGAAATGCCGATCTTAAGTCCTACACAACTGCATTGAAAAAACTCCAACTGCTGTAATGCACCAGTCTTAACCTAACGATGGTGTCCTTATTCTAGAAGAAATAACATTCAAGGTAAATGTTTCAAAATAAAGAATAGTTCAAGCAACCCAACCTGGCAGGAAATCTCAAGCGTTTTCAATAAAACTTAGTACCAATAAATCTGTGACAGGAGTTGTATACGAGCATAAATTCCTATATGAATCTCAAGCGTTTTCAATAAAACTTCTGTGACAGGAATTGTATACGAGCACAAATTCTTATATGAATCTCAAGCGTTTTCAATAAAACTTAGTACCAATAAATCTGTGACAGGAGTTGTATACGAGCACAAATTCTGATATGAATCTCAAGCGTTTTCAATAAAACTTAGTACCAATAAATCTGTGACAGGAATTGTATACGAGCACAAATTCTTATATGAATCTCAAGCGTTTTCAATAGAACTTAGTACCAATAAATCTGTGACAGGAATTGTATACGAGAATAAATTCGTTTGGTTAAAAATAATGCCAGTTTTATTGAGGACATCTTTTGAGTTTAATCTCTCAAGCTTTCGGATAAGAGGTACAGTAACAGGGTCAATAAGTCTTAAAATTTGGCCAAATGGAAGGTTAGGTTAGAATAAATTCCTATATGCTGGACTGCAGAAGGGAGCATACAGCTCAATCAATGACCGGTACTGGCAGTGAGGTGTCGCAGGGCAGCATCCAGGCCGGCATGAAATCCTTCTTTTGAAACAATCACCTGCAACGCAGTTATTTTATAAGTCAAATATTCAGTTAATTGTAATTTTAATACTTGGATGAGCTGGTAAGTTTTGTTTCGATATTAAACTGCAAATCATATGTAAGAATAAGCCAAACTTAATCACCTTGTTAACTTTTGTACTGTGCTACAATAATCATGCAATGGGATTCACAATTGGTATTAACATGGATACCTATATATATTGCAAAAAAAATTGCTTTTTCTTGTTCAATTATAAAGCTCATTTGTCTGAGTGGAGAAATGTAGCACCTTATTATTTTGGGCTGTTATGGAAAGTGAACATTTGTCACCAGTATATATCTTTTTTCAATGAATAAATTTCAGCAGTGTGGTATGAATGAAGAGCATTTTTTTGTATGGCTAGAAGAGTGGTCACTAAAGGGTTAAATTGAACATGCAAGTCACAATTGGTTTAGGCTGAAACAAACAATTAAGACGAGCCCAAAGTTTAATAAATTGAAAACAAATACAAGAATTGAGTTGAACAAATTGGTCATTATTAAGTAGAGACAGCTGAGAAAAATTAAAATTTGCCACAAGTTCAATAAATTGTAGATAAAATCTAGATTAACCACTTTCTTTTTGTTTTATCTCAAAAATCAACTTGAAAAGAATATTAAGAGACACAAATTGAAATTTTTTTTCAGTGGATGATCAACTGAAGCTAAGAAAGCACCACTTAGAAACAAAGGATCAAATATTTTATTTACATTGTACTATACACAAGTTAAAATAATGGAGATACTTCTAAATTTTTCTTTATGCAATGAGTGCCCACATTAAATTAGAGAATTTGAGAAAGGGATTCTATTTTGAACCATTTTGTATTTTTACAGCAACACAACACCACATGCAAACTGCAAACACTATTAGAACAAAACTAATGAATCATACCTAAATTAGGATAGACCTTTGAATTATTCAAATTATTAATTATTGCAAATATTGTATTATAGCGACCGATTGCAATAATGCAAAATGTAAAATCTGTTTAATTTTCAACTGTGTGTTCACGTATATACGTATATAACTTGAATATCAAATCAATATCAAAAAATGAAATTGTGCTTGGAAATGAGCTCAAAAAAGATGCAGCTGAACTGGAGTATTTCTCTAATAATTGACTGATCATTCATAAACAATTTCCTCTTATTCATGGTAGAGACAATATATTTTAACTTCAGTTAGCCAAGTCTCAAAATTGTGATCAGTCACTGATTAAAAATTGATTTTTATATATCCATTGATATCCAGATCACAATGATTTCTAATAATATGGTTTACCAAAATTGTGATAGATATCAGTGCTACGTAGCACAAACAATATATTAGCCAAATTTTCTAAATTATTAGGAAATTTATAATATTGTCATAAAATTATCATTAAAAACTATGTATGGAAAAATACTGTGGTATTTTATAAGGCATGCATAATATTAAGACAATAAAATGTCACATATTCACTACCAAATTTATACGCCATTTCAATATGAATTCCGCTACAATTTTGGCAGATACATGCAGTAAGATTTCAGATTCAACAATTATCAATACTAACAATTACATATATGTTAATGTAATGATTCTATAACTTCTTACATGTGGCACCTAAGGTACCTTGTGCACGGAGAGCGCAGGGTCGACCAGAACAAGTCCTGTTCTGGCAACGCCCTTGCAGGTGTCAAGCATGCCACACGCCCTGGCCACCATATGACTCGTGTCTCCCAACATCGGTATGGTTGCAGATGCTATTGTCCCCAATGCCTTCAGCGCCTTCATCCTGCCATGCCAAAATCTAATGTTAGAAAGTTACTTTTTGACTCTTATTTACACAAGTTACTTATTTAATGGGATCTGAAATTTCGTCAGCCACAGTTATCCAAGATTGCTCAGCATTTTAGCATCTAGCTGTACATACTATACGTTGCCATTCAAAAGGGCACTTTGGTTTATGTATAACGGTACCTATAAAGCTCATTCATCCTATTGGACAAATATAATGCCTATAATTTAGGACTAGGCTGTGACCAGGTTGCCTGTAAAATTTTTTCAATAAATGATTTTCAGCAAAGCAGTATTTTGCACTGTCAAGGAGGACAGTCACTACATGGTTGTCAGCCAATGAAGAACAACAGAACTTACAGAAGAAATATCAAGATTATCAACAAATAAAGTTGATTCAAAAGAATAAATGAAACTCAATTTAATTAAGGTGATACAAAAGAAAATAATTAACAAAAATCAGAAGAAAAGCACAGCTTAAATCATGATGTCAGCCACAAACTTATATTAATGTCTTATGTTAATAATGCATCAGTTAAGAAATGCATACAGTATGCCTCAGTTACAGGTATAATACTCAGTAATGGTCAAAACATAAATCATTTGCAGATCTAAAGGAATTTAAAAGCAAAGAAAACACCAAGCCAATTCACCATATCGATATTGAGAACATTTCTGAGTCCAGCTCCATCATCAGTTCAAAATGGAGCTGGTTTGCTTCATCAGTTTTGAACTGATGATGGAGCTGGACTCCAAAACATTTTCTATATTGATATGGTGAATTGGCTTGGTGTTTTCTTTGCTTTTAAATTCCTTGTGAACTTGCAATATAAGCAGGCTGATAATATAAGTATTTGCAGGTCAGAACCATCAGCAAGAATCTTATTCACACAAATGTAATGTATACATGAAATTTGTACTCAATTATTTCATATACATAAACATATACATTTCAACTTCATATACCTGAACATGTACATGAATATAATAATATCCTCAATTTATGCTTATTGGTGGTATCCAATTTTAAATAGACAAGTCATGCCTTTTTCTAATTTGAGGATAGCTATTTTTAAAAGCAAACTGAGGCCATGAAATAAGAAACGTAGTTGAAGAGCAGTTCCATCAAAATTCACATGAAAAAATTCAATTGGCTATATGAAAATATAAATATTTTTTAGTATTTTCATCAAATAAAGATAATGCAAACACCCATTGTTGAATCACTTTCCCTAAACTGCAAAAAAAAAATTCTACGAAAAATTTATATCAATGTGGACAAAATATCGCATCATGAGACAAATGACTTGGACTTGGTATATAAAATTCGGAAGCATACCACTATACTCACCATGCTAGGTGAGCATAACACGAGTCTGTTGAACACAGAACTATGGAGCAGCCTAGAATACTAAATGCTTGGTGCCTGCGATAACACTCGCTGATAACTGAACCACCATTGACAGGGTCAAAATCATGAGCGTAAAACACAAGGCATGTCCAATTGAGGCCTTCATTTGAGAGGGATGACAGTGAGACCGATGGGAGTATCTGGCCATTCACATAAGCAGGTGCACAAAGAGGAGGGAGGTGCATTCCTGGCACCATCAGTGCCATGCCTTCCTGAAATAATAAAATTCCATTACTAATGGGAAAAAAGACCTCAATAAGAGAGAATATTCAAATGACATTTACACCAAAATAGGAGCAAACTTTTTTAATTGAAGGATAAATCTTTTGATGCCTGACATCCAGAAGTCCTCCAGAAAAGAACACTTACACTTACATTTGTTTAAAAAACCTAATTGATTAAATATTTTTATAAGTAGGACTGGGTTCTCTAATAAAGTCTCTTAAATAATTGAGTACATATCACAGAGGTGAAATTGGTAATACTTCACCCAACAACCAGCTATCTCCTTACAGAAACAGCGGTCTGGATCCGCAATAAACAGACATGCCGACAAATACATTGGCAGTGGTGTGCACTCGGTTCTGTGCTGTGCTGACTGCTGAGTGTGCTCTTCCGGCGAGTTACTTTCTGTTGAATTATTAGTGTGACATCTATCTAGTGTTAAATAATAGATATGTAAAGTTATGTTACTATAATGAAAAGTATCAATTACTTGAAAGAAGACAATGTTAACGGCGTTTAAAGCTATAAAACTGTACCAATTCGAATTTTCATGGTGTGTTGCGCAGTGGTTTAGTACGTTGGTGCTTTGGCTTTTCGCGCCAACGTCAGACGTCACAGAAACGAATTACTTGTTGCTGTCAGAACTGGAATTTATTGTAGCTCGGACGTAAAGAGTGGCTGCACTAAAATCAAAAGTACATTTGTAAAAGAAATTATCTTAGAAATTTCATTCTAACTTATTCAAATAGAGTTTTTTTCTTGCAATTGGTGGAACTGGTGATCTACAACTCTGATATTTCGTTAATTTGTATCCTGTTGCTGCTATTTTTGTAATGTATACGATAAAGATTTAATTTTGTGCGATCGTCAAAACATATCGTCAACCATATTGAAGTCGAAATATTGTATTATTTTTTTAAGTTTGTATCATTACATTATGGATGCTGAATTATTTATATATATATATTTTTTTTCAAGGGAAATTTCTGGCTGAATTTAAGTCGCACATCCTGCTGTATGGCGCTTTATATTTAATTTCTGATTAGCATAGCTTTAAAGCATCGGGATCTTATTTGATACAGCTCGTGTAGGTCTAGCCGACTCTAGCGTATAAGTTTAATATTAATATCGAGAGGTTAAACACTATTATACGTGAAATTTATATTCATCTGACAGAAAAGTTGTGGTTTCACCCATCCTCTAAGTTCAAATAAAATACTATTATTTGAAGCAATGACTATTCCGTTGTACCGACGCTTCGCTCTTGGTTTAAAGAGAATTTTGAAACTGCAAAAAGCCGGCCCTCCTTTTTCGCATGTGTGTCAAGTTGGAGACCCTGTCCTGAGATCTAAATCTGCAGAAATTCCTGTTGAAGATATTCGCGATCCTTTCATCGTGCATGTAAGTATAAATGCCTAGCTAGTGCTAGTAGCGGTGTGAGCCTATTTTCTAAAGCATTGTTTTGTCTTGTTTGCATATTGGACTCTGATTAGGTATTTAATTATTTCATGTCTGAGGGGTATAAAATATTTTTTGGTTAGATATGATGCAACCGGCGTGATTAATCAATCAGCTACAGTATTCAATTTTATACTCGAACCCTGTATTTTGGCGATGAAATGCACAATTTTATTATTTCATATCATTCAAAACGTTGTCTTTTTAAAGTGGTGGCCGGTATATGTTGTTTTACGGAAGAATGAAAAAATCAAATGAGACTCATTGTGTCATTATTTACCTTAAGTATTTTCATTTTAATCTTAGCCGTCACATGCAAGAAATAGCAAATCGTCTGTATAATTCATCAATTAAATAATACGGGCTTTATTGAATATACGATCAGTTTAAGCGCTTATCTCTGCTAGTATTTATCGTCATAATACTTATAATAATAGCGGTTTCAGCGTTTATTAGGCCGTAGGCCTGTCGCCGATTCTTAACATCGCAGAACATTCACAGCATTTTGCGGTCTCGAACTCGCAACTCACTGCTACAATTCTGCTGTGCTCAACCGCCCGGCCTCCTTGCCAATTCTGACCAGAAACTGGCGCACAGAGCTGGGATCGAACCCGCGCCTCTCTGCGCCAATCTTGGTACTCTGGGGTCATATTTTCAAAACTCGCTAAGTGAACTGATTGGCTGATGAACTTACGATCTCTTAACTTTTTTTTAAGTATAGGTCCTGAACTGTAAATTGTAACCACATAACGATCGATATTTTCGACAACCCTAGTAAGTCTTTAAAATAATAAAATAATCCTTGGCTATCTTTTCTATGATTTTTGTCAGTCTCTACGCTCATCCCTGTCAGTATTACTCACATAATTATCAATATTTTCACTCATGCTTGACCGGTTGGATTGAAACTCAAGAAAATTTGCAACGCTTTTCTAAATTAGATCAAGCCTTGACTTGTGGCTGGTTACCGGAAACTGTGAAAGTAGGGTCAGCCATAACTCCATTATTATTTTCAGGGACAGAAATAATGAAGTTTTTTGGAAATATAAATCTTGAAGGAATCTAACCAAGTTTTTACCCGTTCGTAAATTGATAATTGATATGCTTAGAATTGCATGATTTACTAGAAACCCAATTACTTTTACTGTTGTGTTGACATGACGTCACGACCGTCCTCTTTCAACTCAATAGTCTTACCACCACGGAACAAAGCGGTATTGTAGTGCCCGAAAACAAAACAAAAATTACATTGCATATATGAATGCGCAGGCAGCGCACTCGTAAAAATTTGTATACGCGTATACAAATTTTGCGAAAGCTAATGAATAACATATAACGCGTATAGTCCCGGTATGCGAAAGTTGATAAATAACATAAAAATGTTTTTTATAATACGCATGATATATAAATGCTATTACACTATACCAAAATATTCAATAAACTACGAAGATTTTCGGCAATTTCGCCGAATTTCCAATATTCCTAAAAATTCAATTATCACTTACAGTATGTACTATCACTACTATGTAGGTATAATATTGAAATACGCATAAATTTAAGATATGATCATAATTGAACATTATCAGTATTTCAGCATAATACAATTTCACAAGGTTAGAAAAAACTTGAATTGAAAGTCTGAAGAAAAATTACTTCCCACCGTGGCGAGTGACAACAGCTCGACCCCCCGGTGGCCTGCGCAGCACATTAGCGTCGTGTTGTGCTACATCAGCAAGTCTCGCCTCAAACTCGCCGCTCCAACACAAATTCCTCTAGCAGGCGACGTGACTAAATTCCTCAACACTTTAGCAATTTCCGGCCTCTGGGGCTGAACTATCAAGACTCGTATAAGTAAACGTAGCGGCAGATTACTCGTCTGTGATTGGTGGGTTAGGCTTGATGAGCCGTAAGTGATAAGGTTTAAGCTTGATAAGCCGTTAGTGATTAGGTGACTGAGTTACGAAACCGTATCTGTTATTTATATTCGGGCCCCCTGGGGCCGAGCTATCAAGACTCGAGTACACGTAGCGGTAGATTTCTCGTCTGTGATTTATGGGCTAGGCTTGATAAGCCGTCAGTGATTAGGTGACTGCATGAGTTACAAAACCCCATCTGTTATTTATAGTAGGGCCCCCCTGGGACCGAACTATCAAGAATCGTTGTAAAAGTGCACGTAGCGGTAGATTTCTCGTCTGTGAATTTTTAGGCTTGATAAGCCGTGAGCGATTTGGTGACTGAGTTACGAAATCGTAACTGTTAGCGACTGATATTTCTCGTCTTTGATTAGTGGGTTAAACTTGATAAGTTACGAAGTCGTAATTCCGTCAGTTAATCACTGACGAGCTACTAAATCGTTACTGTTTGTGACAGTACGGCCCTTGATCGACATCGGCTTAGGAAGAAAATGTTCGGTATATTTGGTTGTTGATAGGTAAGTGTTCCATCATGTTAATAAGACTTTACCTGATGTCGAATAATATCAACGTTTTTTTTATTTTATTTTATTGGATTTTGTGAAAAATCTCCAAAGCCACGAAGAATGCCAAGTTAAATTTCGCACATATGCATTGGAAACATGTTGACGCTTTCAATAAAAATTAAAGGTGAATTTTCTTTTAGCATTTCTTCGCTTTAAATGTTAAATTTGTTCGCTATGGAAGCAATATAATGATATGAATTAAGGTATGATATGGATTTATACACGCTCTGGTCTTCAATCAAACTTGCATTAAAGAAAAGCTTCCGCCGAAATATACTAATTTTACACATATTTCTTAACTAATTAATCTTCCAGACCACCGGAAAGTAGCATTTATTAGGTTCTTCAACATCCTTTCTTTATCATACAGGGCAGATCACGTGAATATACAGGGCGGATGATGTGGATGTACAGGACACATCTTATGGATATATAAGGTGGATCACGTGGATATATACAAAGTGGATCATGTGGATATACAGGGTGAATCATGTGGATATTCGGGCGGATCGTGAGGATAAATAGGGTGGATCACGTGGATATACAGGGCGGATCGTGTATGATATACAAGGTGGATCGTGTGTATATAACGGATCGTGTGTGATCCGCTCTGTGTGCGAATTATTTATAAATCTGTTTATATTATTACTGTGCGTCCATTCTAACCTCAGTAATTTATTCTGTGATGTTCATGTTAGGCTAACCCGAATACACGTGCACTAATGCCTAACCTGAATAAACTTTAGCCTTTCTCGTCGCGTCTTTTTATTTTTTGCTCACTACATCAAACTTACATGTTATAAATTTGCCGTCGAAGTTAGGTGCAACCAGACGCCACGTCAATCGCTTCGTAAAATAATAATAAAAGCAATGATAATTATAATTTTTTTCACTTAAATTAAGCTGTTATTTATTATGAAAAATACTTACATCCTCACTTATTTTCCTGTTCCAGGTCATCAGTTGCATGAAGAAAGTGATGCGCGACTACCACATCGTCGGTCTCTCTGCGTGTCAAATAGGACTGCCTCTTAGGTATCAATTATTCGCCTTATGAGCATTATCTACTATATATTAATTAATACAGAAGTAATTAGTACCTATATTACAGGTATTTGATTAAATTTGAAAAATTGTTCCGTAATCAAGACCATATTAAGATTCCTCATTAGGAGCACCGCAACAGCTAGCAGTACGGCTGAAGTAAACTAACTTAAACGTTTGTTAATCAATTGGAATAGAACTTGAGTCAACAGCTTGGGTTTGATACAAAGTTCGTTGTAACTAATCATGGACGTTTTCGTGTGTTAAAATCAGTTTTATTTAGATGCAGTCTATGTCGAAACTTATATACTACCGTTGAAATAATCAGACTGCACTTTTTCGTTTGTTTCTAAACCAACCTGCTGAACTATTTATCCTCACCATAATTAGAAATTTATTGTTTATTATCTCATGAACTTTAGGATAATTTAAATAACGTTCTTTTCTCTCCTAGGATCATCGCTGTTCAGCTACCGAAAAACAGAGAACAGGACGCAGTTTTCGATACCTTACCCGTCTCAGCGCTGACCCCTACAGTGAGTTTTTTTTCCACGTCCTTCTAGACTAGACTAAAGAGCCTGCAGTCCTGCACATAATCTCCGACCTTCATCTGATATGAGTGTAGGGTCCTTAAAACGTTACCATAATTACTATATCAGTATTACTGCATCAGTATTACTGTATCAGTATTACTGTCTCAGTATTACTATATCAGTATTACCATATCAGTATACAATATCAGTATTACTATATCAGTATACAATATCAGTATTACTATATCAGTATACAATATCAGTATTACCATTTCAGTATTACTATATCAGTATTATTATATCAGTATTACAATATAGAAGTATTACTATATCAGTATACAATATCAGTATTGCTATATCAGTATTATTTCCTCGGTTATTCCCTGATCTGTTTAATTCGTTTCTTTTGTGTTATAATGATCCATATTACGGCTGTTGAAATTTTGACGCGAAACATGGATAATTTTGTCTTCCTTCAGTATTGCGATTTATTTCCTTCCACTGATGGAAAATTATTTTTTATTTTAGTTTTAATCAGGTAGAAACTCTTCGACACCGACATTAATCTTTGGGTTTCACTCTATTATTAAGTTTTGACAGATGATAAAAATTGAAATTTGCCACAAGTTCAATATATTGAAGACAAAATCTTTATTAACTACTACTAACTACTACTACTTGCTTTTTCTTTTATGTCAAAGATCAACTTCAAAAGAATATGAAGCACATAATACACAAATTGGTATTTTTTTTTAAACTCTTCGACGCCGACATTAATCTTTGGGTTTCACTCTATTATTAAGTTTTGACAGATGATAAAAATTAAAATTTGCCCAAAGTTAAAAAAATTGGAGACAAAATGATTGTGGCAGGTGATCATAAAGTCATAAACCCGATCTTTCTAATATATGATTGTGGCAGGTGATCATAAACCCGATCTTTCTAATTTATGACGGTGACAGGTGATCATAAACCCGACCCTGCGGATCACCGGCCCCGAGAAGTTGCTGAGGTCGGAACAATGCGCCAGCATCAAAGGGTTCAGTGGCGTCGTGGCGCGTTACGCTGCCGTCACCGTGGCAGGTGCAGAACTGTAATTTCGATCTTGTGCGTAGAACCTGGGCTGTACAACTTTCGTGAGAACCTGTCGTAGTACTCGAATGAGAACCTGTGGTAGTACTTGAGTGAGAACCTGTCGTAGTACTCGAGTGAGAACCTGTGCTGTACTACTCTCATGATAACATGTGGTAGTGTAATTTCGATCTTGTGCGTAGAACCTGTGCTGTACTACTCTCATGAGAACCTGTGGTAGTATTTGAGTGAGAACTGTGGTAGGTAGTACTCACATGAGAACCTGTGCTGTACTCCTCTCGTGAGAACCTGCAGTGGTGCTCTCATGATAACTTGTAGTAGTACTCCTCTCATGAGAACTTATATCATTCTTCTCTCATAAGAATCTGCAGTGGTACTCTCATGAGAACCTGGCAACGAATTCGTTAACTAAAGTGCTAGCATCTCCTTAAAAGATACACGAAGCTATATATTTATTTCTGCGAAAAACTGATTGTAGAAATAATTTTAATCTACGTAGTAAACTTTTACTCAAGTACGAAGTTTTTTCCTTCTTGAATCCTTCCATGTTCACAGGATACGGCGAGAGAGGCCAGGAGGTGCGGGTGGAGGGCTCAGGGCTGCTGGCGCGAGTCCTGCAACACGAGATGGACCACATTGACGGCAAGCTTTACATCGATTCTATGGACACCAGGACTTTCCATAATGACGGCTGGCATACGATCAACCAGCACCATGGCGCTGTCTCCATCCATTACCTCCCTGAAGAGCGGAAATGATGATAGTGTTGGTATTTAACAACCAGCACCATGGTGCTGTCTCCATCCATTACCTCCCTGAAGAACGGAAATGATGATAGTGTTGGTATTTAACAACCTGTACCACGGTGCTGTCTCCATCCATTACCTCCCTGAAGAACAGAAATGATGATAGTGTTGGTATTTAACAACCAGCACCATAGTGCTGTCTCCATCCATTACCTCCCTGAAGAACAGAAATGATGATAGTGTTGGTATTTAACAACCAGAATATCCCAGTGCCCCCTACATTAACACGAGATGGACCACATTGACGGCAAGCTTTACATTGATTCAATGGACACCAGAACTTTCCATAATGACGGCTGGCATACGATCAACCAGCACCATGGTGCTGTCTCCATCCATTACCTCCCTGAAGAACAGAAATGATGATAGTGTTGGTATTTAACAACGTGTACCATGGTGCTGTCTCCATCCATTACCTCCCTGAAAACCAGAAATGATGATAGTCTTGGTATTTAACAACCATCACCATATGGTTATGTCTCCATCAATTACCTCCCTGAAGAGTAGAAATGATTGTGATGGTCGATCCCCATTTTTGTATTAAATGAAAATATTTTAAATGGTTTGATTTGCCAATTCGTATCATAGTTGAGTATCGGTTAGCGCTGAAAACTATCTTTTTGTGAATTTGTATTTAATAATCGCATAATTTCGTGGAAAAAATTAACGCTGTAGCGCTGTTAGATGGTTGAAAGGTCAAAATTTACTATTGAGTATAAGAAAACGATATGGAACATTGAAAATAGTGTGCCATGCAAAAACTGAAGATCTAGTTCCAATGCGTATTCTTACGCATTACCCTGATTCGCACGACTTTTTTTTTTCGCGCAGAGTCATGCACTTCAATCTTGACGTTAGCCACATTCAAATTAAAACATAAACATCAAGGCAGCAATATTTTACTGAACGAATTTGACATTGTTGCATGAACATGATTATGCGCTCGTCAGTCTTCCCGTGATGTCAAACTTGGGCATGACATGCAAGACTGGCAATAAGTTTGAGTGTGTGGACGGAGCTTAACACCATTGCATCACTACTCGTTTCTAATGTATCGGCTAATTGAAGAGCATTCCTTGGCCAGAAATACGACACCTTATTATTACGATAGATAACATATCTGTAGCATTACTAGACGAAGCTATGCAGGAGCATATGTTCAGTCTTAAAATGCCTAGCAAATTACGGAGCAGGCAATAAGTCCAGCAGCTATCTAAATCAATCGCCAGTTATGGAAAGATCGGGTTCCAAAGGCCGGATCCCTTGTGAATCAACTTCAATCAAGTCACGAAAAGTTCAAGAATCGGCAACAGGCCATGGGCCTATGTCTTCAACGCCGACACTTCTATTCTAAGTTGAGTAAATTGCTTTGCATCGTACAAACCAGTCCTCATCCAACAATAAAAAAGTACGCGATGAGTGTGCGGCGTTAATGAGTATAATTATCCCGACGATTCAAATTCAATTCATGAAGGCTTTATATTTGTTCAATAAAGCACTGGTATCAAATTTTTAATCTTAGATTCGAGCATAAGTTTGGGCAATTGCAATTTTCACGTTTTCAGCGCCTCTACTATGACCAGTTCACAGATAATAAACATGTTTAGATGCAGTTAATCCCCAGTGATGCGTCACGTGTTGAACGCGAACAACACTTGACCTCATATCATTGTTAAGTTTACTTTTCTCTTTATCTGTAAATGGAACTATTTATCGTTCATTATTCGCACCCCCGCCTCATTACTACAGCGTTGTGAGCGCGTTTGCTGGTTGATGGTGACAGTCCAATGGACAGCTCAGTACCTCGTGTAAAAAATCGCGGGCCGCGGCAGTGTTGAGTGAGCTGTCAGAGTGGGTGTGTGTCTAGAGTTTCGAGCTGATGTCGATCCCGATCTTCTCGGAAGTCAGCGATTTTAGTTTTGTGCGTTCATGTAGGTAGGTCTTTGCTATTGCTTGCGTTCAAGCTTCCGTCCAATCGTTACTAACTTCGTCTGATCATTATGTTAGAGTTTTCATATGATAAAACTTATATGCTTTGAATCTCTCATGCATTCTTGCAATTGGCTTGCAAAGTTGTAACCTTCAATGCAGTCCTTCATAAACTAAAGAGTTGCTTGAAATTATTTTGTGTTTGATATTGAACGATTGAAAAGTGGATCTCCTAGCATGTATTTCGTCAATTTAGTTTTTATATACGAAATAATCCATGTTGCTGACCCTAATGGCCTAATCTATGTTAAATTTATTATAGGTGAGCACCAATATTCACGCTTCTGGCGCCTTAAATGTATTTTTCGACAATTATTGTGCATGTGGACTGAACAAGTTTGCTTCGAACTTGGGACGAAATCATTTTATTTGTTTGTGACGGATACAGCCCAAGGTAGAAGTCGGTTTAAAGCCTGATGTCTCATCTTTTTATGTAGCGATAACTTTAATATCTGAGTAAATCAAAATAAGTCTAAATTTCAGTAGCTGTTTCAGCATCCAGGCCCAGCTGGCTTCTACTGTGCTCATCGTATTTGGTCAAATCAAAGTAGCCCGACCGCGCATGAACCTAAGTAGCTGCTTGCGGGTTACGTCATTGCTGTGTTTTATCGCCTCTCGATGGCCAGTCTCAGGCTCTCAATCTCAGCTAGCCTAGCCAGTCTGACTGTCTGACGAATCACTGTCCCTGACGGTTTAAATTCAGAAGAAGTAAGATATTACCAAGTGGCAAGTGCACATACCAGATGCGTTGGAGTAACCTGATACTTTCCTTATACTTATAGGTGGCATTTTGGAACTGATCAAATTAGCCGACTGGAACGAATTTGAATATGTGTCGCCGCAATTAGTCTATGTTTTTATGAAGACAATTACTGTGAACCTATAATTGTAAATTTCCTTCAGGAACTGAATTTAATCGTCTAAATTTTCGATGTGATTAGTTTTCTATTTATTAGTACCTAGACAAGGAAGTTAAGGAAGTAAGGAACTGCTTGCACGAACCTTGACGAATGTGTCTCAAACACAAAACCCTGTAGAGTGTAGATATTAGCTATAAGTAAGAATATGGCCTCGTTATTACTATTAGTCGCTGAATCCTGAATGCTTTTCAATTCGAAACGGGACGAAACCTTCTGGTGAAACCTGTGCAACTTGAAAAATGAACACTTTATAATCACTGATAAGAGATGATTACTAGGTACAATTACGGAGCCTAATATATTTTCCTATTTAATGAACCGTCTTAAAACTCCTTTTATACGGAAACATAAAATACAAGCGATTTATCGTATTTTGTCAGTATAGGCTAGAGCTAATTGAGACTTTGAGAGATTTCCGACGATGAACTGAACCAGTCGAAAAGTCTAAAGTTAAAAGCTAACTGATCCAGTATAGACACAAGTCACACAACCGTTCTTACGTTTTTTCCTGCCATCCCGAACGCAGGGCGCAGGCAATAGCCCACACTCCCCACAACGACGGTAGCGTCCATTCGTAGAAATGTACCTAGCCGCTACATTTCTTATATGCTCGCTACATTGTAGCGAGCATATATATTGAATTGTATAGAGTATATATTGTGTGCGTTTGCAAATTTCACAGTTAGTGATTGCTTCAGAAAAATAGTTTTGCATGAAGATTCCAGAAAACTATGCATATCATCTGCAAAACATGTGTGACATTAAGTCTACAGATTGCGATCGCTTTTGAAACTTAATTTTGTAAGGAGATTGATGAAAGCTATGCATATCCTAGACTCTAATATTATTTTCCACATCTAACAGAGCAGTGATAGAGACGTTCAAATGAGACGTTCTCACGCGTATTTTGCGTCGTCCCGAAATTACAGACCACACGGAGGCTGTCATAGGACACAATCACAGTGATCTCTGACCCTGAATTAATTACGTACTTAAGAGCCTCATTGATATGGTGTCTTGACGATGTTAATATATTGGATATTCATCGACATTGTCTAGGGACGCCATTTAAATCTGGCTCCAGTTTTAAGGTCTAGATTTTTTCGCTTTCTTCCTGACCAGCTTAACCTATCTCGCCACGTAGAACCATGACAACAATCGACCAACAATCCAGTTCAGTTCTATTTTCAAACGAGCTCCGAGAAGCGCCCATCAGCATTCTTAGATTGTGAATAATTTCATACAATCATGTTGTAGTTAAAAGTTACGAAAGAAGTTAAACGTTAAGAAAATTTAATGAAACAAGTGGATTGAATTTGAACTCAATCTTGAATGCTCATATTCTTGGAGCCGCTTCACCAGCTACCCATCAGGTTTGCTTCATACTGTGAAAAACGAGTTAATTTCAATGAATGAATCATGGTAGACAAGGTAAAAATCATCAATTTAACGCAGTAAATTCAAATGAGGTTATAGTAAACTAAATCTATTCACCTGAGATAAAATTGCAACTCAGTGTGCTGACGCACCTTTGAGAAGAATTTAATTTGAAAATGAAAAGAAATCAGTCGAAGGTGGATGCTTTAGACGGAAATATAGTAAGAAAAGTTGAAGATTGGTTCGTCGAAGTGAATTTGAAGTTTGCGATTTGGTTACTGCGATTGGTTTGCGATTTGGAATTTGAAGTTTGCGATTTGGTTACTGGCGTAAACTCTAAAATAGAACTCGAGTTGTAGCCGCATCCACTTAGAGTTAAATAATTGAAGTTGAATTGGAATAAATTAGATAATTGAAGCCTGAAGCATCATACACGATTATTAAGCATACATTTGAGCGAATTTGGCAAAACGAAAAAATAGCGGGCAGCCGCTTCGACTTGCCTGTTGCTGCTTTACTTCCCTTGACGAGGTTTTAGCCACCATTTATTCTCGCTTGGCTTTTGCTTTTGGCGAAACGAATCCGTCCAGCGGCTCCAAGAATACAAGCATTCAAGATTCCAATTTTAAATTCAATCCGCTTCTCGTTTCAATAAATTTTCTTGACGAACAATGAAGATCTCTATAATATGACAAGGGTTGGTATAAAGTAGGGGCGGCAGCGCAGGCGACAGGCTGGCTGGAGGTCACAAAAAAAGGCGTTGCTACGGCGGTGTATCGGGGCGGACTTCTCAATTCCCGGAAACCCAGCTCTGGCCTAAACTACCCTGACGTTAAACTTACCCTAAATTGAACTAAAACTATTATCTTATTCTATTGGAATAATGCTTAAGGAATGAACAAATTTAAGAAACCGTGGGAAATTTCCCCCATAAGATCCAAGTTACCCGGACGACGGCTTCATCGATTAAAGCCGCTGCATAAAATACGAAGCGACAAGCCTCATACATCTGAACTTCAATCGTGACAGAATACACTACATAAATTTTTTATTTTTAGTTTTATTAATTTAACTTTATTAATCTGCTCATACGCACATTAATCTGTTCGAATGTGTTAAGAGGAAGCCGATTGTGTTAAGTTACCTAAGCTCGTTGCAGAACGCGATCAGTATTAAGCTCGCAGTCGGACATTATTGGAAGAATTCATCTCTAATGTATTTTAAATTTAACACAGCATTATGTGTATAATATGGATTAACTGCAGTGTATCTATCTGCGATGAAAGCCGATGATTTTATAGCAGAAATATTCAAGATCTATAGGGATGTATGGTTCTACTGGCCGAACATGACTGCACTCTTCTAATCAATAGCGTCTCGCATAGTAGCTATACGAATTCTTTGTTATCTTGAGAGCTGAGAACTACTTTTTAACTCGCTCATGCCCGAGTGCATTTGTATTTTGTCAAACCGAGTGCATTTGGTTTAAATTACAATGTTCGCTTTGAAGTTGAGAAATTTCTGTTCAATCACTATATAAGATTTGCATTGTTACCACATTGAATTGAAAGACGTTTGTAATTATCGTGTGTTCGAGGGACATTGAAAGACTTGATTATTCCTACCAATCCTACGTAAGAATATATAATGTATATTCTTACGTATCATGAATAATTTATGCCTCAATTATCTACAACGTTGGGGCTCATTAAATCGCAACGGTGCCTATAAGCTCTGAAGGATGGTTACCTCGACATTCATTTCGTTGGTTTATAAGTCCTCTGATGACTCTGATGTAATATAGCAAGTTAGTTTACCATTAAACGTGTCCTCAACACCGCGTCAAACTTGAGAAGCAAGTTAGTTTACCATTGTACGTGTCCTCTACACCGCGTCAAACTTGAGAAGCAACTTAGTTTACCATTGCTCGTGTGTGTCCTCAACACCGCGTTGAGTATGAGAGGCAAGTAGGTTTACTATTGAACTTGCATCAAGGAAGTGCTGACAAGTAGCAATCAGGGAGCTTTTTACTCATATTTCAATCTTGTTTGTTTCCTACGCCACATTTAGCTCATAATATAACCAAGCGACCACCACGAAAAAATATGCATTGATCAAATTCTATTGCAGTAATGACGCTTAAAAGTGTTAGATCGATACGATATCATCGTTGAATGAGAGAATAAATGGACCTTGGAATGAAAGCCAGGTATTGGAGATATATCTTCGTCTCGGCCTCAGCTAAATTATTTGTTATCGATAGCTGCAGTGCTGCACACGGTCACGGCTTCAGTCATAAGCCTTGCGCGCTTGTTGAAGTGATCGTCACGTCCTGCTCATTGTGTCTACGTTGCGAGATAAACTAAAATCTTACCATAGTCATCAATTCCATTTTTGATTGTTCATAACGGATTATTTCATGGTATTGTTCCGCGTTTAAACGATTCATTGAATTATAGAGCGTTTGAATGATCATTACTCGCTAACATGAAGTGAAATGAATGTGGTGTCTATGTAATCACTTAAAAGCTAACAATATCCATTGTTTTGACTCCTTTCAGACAACTGATATAGAACATTAGTCAAATCTAGCCTTTACTGGTGATCAATAACCGGTATCTCGTGCCGTCCAACCTAATCATGCGTTGGCACCTGTTGGCGGCGGGGTGCGGCTTACTGCTAGTCATCCTGTGCGCTCAGACTGCTTTAGCTTCTAGCCCACAAAAAAGCAGCTCCAGAAACGAAGGGTTTTACTTAAATGCTGTCTCAAGAGGAGATTTCCTTACTACGGGTGAGTCTTTTGGCTTCTTAGACTGACGGAGAATTTTTTCGCGGAAACGTTTACCTGAGTTCATGGTAGTAAGATAACACAAGCATTTGAATAAAAAATTGACATTTTTAACGTTAAATGCGTATCATCATGATAATAAAGATTGATATAAGATGATCAGATGTTTATACGTTAGTTTAATTGCATAAACATTTCCCATAAGAGTATGAATTATTCTATTCGAAAAATGTTGGAATTCAATCCTATAGTTTGATCTCGACTCTGGGTCATACAACTTTTGGTAAGGTGTTGAATTAAGGGAAGGCCATTCTGCCAGATATCTGTAGCAAAGACTAGTAAAGTGTTCTTAGGCAAGGAGTTAAGTAATACAAATGTTGCTGTGAAAAATGCGTTTGAAGATCGCAATGAAAATTATGTATCCTATTTCCTGTCATTGTATATACGAACAATACACCTTTTCTGCATAGAGGTCATTGTGCAATGTGTATCAATGCGTTAGTATTTTGTACTAGTATTTTAGTTTATGTTTCATTTCCCGAATGATATGCAGCACTGGCTAATATGATCGTAGTGAATTAAAATTCGATTTTGCAGATACGCTGGGAATCTTAGCCGAACTTGCCAAACTAATTGGCATGACGCAGGCCGACGTGTTGGCCATGATCAGTATCGTCAAGATCGGATTCGGAGCCATCGAGTTCATCGATAAAGTTTACTCACAGGTCAGTTTCTTCACTTATTCTGTGCAATTTTCTTTCTGTTCCTTGATTTTGAGACGGAAAATGAAACGATGTATGAAATATTTGTCAGTATTTCATGCATGGAAGTGCTTTATGGGAGATCAGAGATGCTTCAATTCGAAGTCGGCGCAGTGTTGTTCTAGCAATCATGTTCCAAGATCAATTCAATGTTGATAATTCGTCGTATTAAATTTTGTTCAAGTTGAAGTGATAAATCATTGTTTACCAGCATAAAGCCCCCTTCGTTCGTTACCTAATTAATTTTAATTAAATCAAACGATAATTCGAACTATATACCTATATATACATTAGTAAACGTCACTAGCGCTCTCACAGGGGAACAATGAGCTCATAGTGGAGTGCCTGCGGTGAGGAAGCCAAATGACCTCAGCAAATTAGTGTTAACAAAGAATCTATTGAAAGACTGACCTCGCACTGCATGCGTGCTAACGTCATCAATTGATATTCAAAGTATGGATGACGTTTAATTTTTCGTCACAAATGAATGCCCAGTTATGATATCCATGCCTCAAAATGGATGTCACGGTGTTATTCGCCAAATTTTTTTTGCAGGATAAATTAGACGAAGATTTTAGTTAGAAATTAAAATGCGATGTAGACTTGGTTTTTGTTCAGCATTGATTCATAATTAGTTCATATCACGGAAGGAATGTTTTGACCAAGTCTTTGCTGGTGAGAGAATCGTCAATTATCTATACGTACATTATACCTTATATGCGGCGCTAACAAACATTTCTCCACAATTTTCGTGCCCAAAACTATTGTGACCTTGTGATGAGTTTAGGACGTCGTAGTCACCGGTCAAGCTGATGCTCCGCCTTCGTCGTCCTCCGTCTCCGAGTCGTCGCTAGGCAGGTCACCCCGCCCTCGGGTCCCGGATGTAACGTTGGCCCGAGTAATTAACAATTCGATTGTGTTGTTCGAAACAAAGTAATTAATTGTGTTGAAACGATTCTATGCATTAAAGTCACTACCGTGATCAGGTGTTCAACGGTTCATCGCTGTCAGTGGACCTGGAGTCGCTGGCTGGCGCTGATCGCTCCATGCTGGCCATGTTTCAGGTGCTATCCTATCGCCTGGAGCAGATACAGTTCGGGGTAAGTCTTCTCAATATTACGTGCTATATTATGTGCTAATACTGAAGTGTGTAGTTGGATAGGGAAATATTGACATTTAGTGGTAAGTCCTCCCAATATTACCTGTTATATTACGTGCTAATACTTAAGTGTGTATTTGCAACGGTGAAATATTGACATGTAAGGGTAAGTCTTCTTCTCAATAATACCTGTTATATTACGTGCTAATACTGAAGTGTGTATTTGGACGGTGAAACATTGACAATTAGGAGTAAGTCCTCCCAATATTACCTGCTATATTACGTGCTAATACTGAAGTGTGTAGTTGCAACAGTGAAATATTGACATTTAGGGGTAAGTCCTCCCAATATTACCTGCAATAATACGTGCTACTACTAAAGCGTATAGTGGGACAGTGAAATATTGACATTTAGGAGTAAGTCTTCTCAATATTATACTAGAATCTCGCCTGTAATGGGCTAACACTAGTGACGATAAAAAATTGAAATTTCGTCTAGGTGCAAGTAGATAAAGCCTTATTTTTTCCGGTAGAATAACTCTCGCTTTTGGCGTTTATGTTTGCATGAAAGTGATGTTCTATGTTCGTGTTGTGAACGTTATATATGTTATCTAATATCTACATCAAGGCAATGCTTCCAAGTAAATTCCTAGTAAACAATGAGAAGCCTGGTAAACTTATTCATTTTATTGTTCCCTCTTCATGAGATTCCCAAATTTAAATCAGATTATTTATATAATGAGACAAATTTCTCGTGTATCGTGCATTAAATAAAATTGTCTTCCGTTCGCTTGACGCTGATGACCGTCCAAGCAGGAGGTGAGTATAAAAGAATTTTTTATTTCACCTTGCGTAGCGCGTGTTGATTTCAAATTAGAATAATAGGTAATTGGCACTAGCACGGGTATCAGTTTCCTATTAGACTGATAGTTGGCACTAGCACAGGTATCAGTTTCATATTAGACTGATAGTTGGCACTAGCACGGTGACAACAGCACGGGTACCAGTTTCATATTAGACTGTATAGTTGGCACTAGCACGGGTATCAGTTTCATATTACTGATAGTTTGCACTAGCACTGGTTTAAATGGTTTCGTATCTCTCACTAATAAATTTCTGAGAACAATGAAAGAACTTAGCTAAACATGCAACCACAATAAATCTTCTCACAGTCGTCGTAAATTTTCGGATTCGATTATCATTTATGCAATGAAAATAGTATGTGGAGAAATAGTTGTATTGATAATTTATACGATATTTTGGAATAAAGAAAGTTCAATTTATATCTTCATTATTGATATTTTTTGAAGAGAAAAATACTCTTTGTAAGCTTCCCGAAATTATATTTTTCCATTCGTTGTATAATGGAAATAATTTGACATTAGCACCAGTCTCGTTCATTCATGAGTTTTTATGATTAAAGAGAGGCAAGTCTCAATCCTAGACATTCTATTCGGCAAAGAAAATCTGAAATTCTAAAACGAAATGTTTTTCTGAAACGAAATGTTTTTCTGAAGCGAAATGTTTTTCTCGAACGACATGCTTTTCTGAAACGAAATGTTTTCGTTTGCCCGTACACATTTTTCTGGTTTACTTCTTGTACAAACTTTATGAAGAAATACGTCCTCAAGGCAAGTTACTTGTTCGTCAGACTCGAATATAAGTAAACTCTTCACATCACCCATACAAAAAAAAATTATCGCTGATTCCGGAAAAACGCAATTAATGATATTGTAAACGTATTACCTTATAAAATTATAGGCCTTATTTTCTAAAAGATTTTAATTAGCCTGATTCCTTCGTTGATACTCCGTCGCAGAGGTTTTTTATTATATACGTGGATATATATATTTTTTTTCCTATCGAGTGTTCATGCTACGATAAATTCAAATTCAAATTTAATATTCGAATTCCAAATCACCTGACAAACTCAGTAATGACTCAAAGCTGTTGCTTTTTGGAGGCTATTATATACTATCTCTTGATAGCATTAACTTATCAACCCTTCACGTTACTAGAGTGTCTGGGCATTGATGAGTGATAATGTAAATGATTATATGGAAACGAACATGACAGCGATTATTATCTATATTAATTGAAGATTTCTATAGTAATTGAAGATTTCTTCTGAAGAACATTTCAATGGAAATGTTCATTATTGCTGTTCGTTCAGTGTTCCTGCTATGTTTTCTGTACAGCCTATAACTGCAGTGGGAATTCGGTGCATTTTTAATATCTCCAAAACGTCGCCTTTATATATTAAATTTGTGCTGTTTATAATATGGCCCATCGTAAAAGTGTGACGTTTATCGATGAAAATTTATTTCATACTCGCCAGTTTCACAAGCACCTCGTTTATTTTTGTAATAATTTATCCAGTATTAACTTAAGGTTTACGCTCACATTTTATTGTTATTTTATTATCTCACTAAATTCATTTCTGTAAGCTGATATCGCCTTTCATTTGTTCTAAGTTTACTTTTTGACGACCATCGTAGTTGCCGAAATAGACTTTGATTTGAACGTTTGTCGCCGCTTCAAATATCGCAATACATTGTTACCTTTCTCTGAATTATTATTTGAGTGAATGAAATGCTATCAAAATTCTGTCGATATTTTTCAAATAATGATGGCGTGTACATCCAAAAATAATTTTAAATTTGAAAATTAAAATTAAACTTGAAAATTCTAAATTTTTTTAATATTGTATAATATATAGAATATTTCACACTAATTGATTTCGATCAGCGTTCTATACTTCTCGAGTATGAGGATACCTCTCCTCGGGAAATTCACTTGAAAATTCTTCATGACACTAATAAAAAATTATATTTTACTAATTGATCACTGCTTTTCAATTATTTTTCTATAGGTAGTATAATATAAACGTTATATTTATCGTAACTTGAAATCACCAAATCAATTCTATTTTACTATTCAATCACTATATTTGAATTATTTGGAAATTAATATATATTATTTATTACATATTATGTTTTCGTTGTTTAAAATTAGCAACTTATCAATTAATCTACATTGTTTTATTACGTTTATCATTGTTTAAAATTACCAACTCAGCAATTAATATATATTATTCATTACGTACATATTACGTTTATCATTGTTTAAATTATAATTGTTTATAATTGTTCAAAATTTACCGAGTATAGTTGACGGGCATCGAGCGCAGCCTGCGCGACATGGCGCGGGAGCTGCCGGACATGGTGCGCTGGGAGGCCATGCTCGACTCCCTGGAGGACTACACCCGCCCTATCAACTCCCTCTACCACCGCTTCGTGCACTACCAGAAGCACAAGGACGAGGTGAGTGCTCTACCATCGTGTCGTGCACTACCAGAAGCACAAGGACGAGGTGAGTGCACTACCACCGCTTCGTGCGCTACCATAAGCACTACCATGACAAAGAGGGAAGCTGTTTTTTTTTTTGTTTATGTAAGTTTCTAGTCTCGAAGAAGGGCCTTTAACGAATGTGTTGAATGATTTATAGGTACTATGCTAATCTTGTTATTCAGATACAAAGACGTAAAGAAAAAATTAAACTAAACATGTGAAACACATTCGCTTGTAGAGAGCGTGTCCATGGATAATCGCGTTTTCTCTTTCTGAAATTCGTTGTTTTCAAAGCAATCGTACACATTTAATTGAAATGTGAGAACTTGATGCCAAGATGCCCCAAGACCAAATTACGTAAATTACCCATAAAAATTGCATATGCCACGTCATCGAATTATTATAGAAATTGTCTTGAGGATGTTATGCTGAATATTCATTTTTAGCGCATTTTCTCATTTATGGAAAAAAGGCGCATTGTGCTCGCCATGTCCGTCCATCTGTCCGTCCGTCCGTCCGTGACCACGTTTTCGTCGACGAGAAAATGCGCTCTATCTGTCACTCACTGCAGTGAGTACTGAGTTATATTTTTTATGTTATTCTGAATATTTAGTTTTGACTATAGGTTGAAAAGCACACGCTGCTTGACTTTGCGGAGAGCGTCGTGTCTCATGAGCAAGGCTCCATCATCAACCTCATGGCCAACATACACAACATGGTTGCCCCAGACTACCCTCCTGTTCCCCAGGTGAGATACTGAACTATACTATACTGAACCTTCGTACAAAAGTGAAGTATTAAAATCACTTGTTTGCTTAAATCGCAAGTTAACTAGGAATTTAAAAGCAAAAACAATACCTACCACAAAAATTCAATACCACAAAAATTCACCAAAAGTAAAGTATAGAAGGACGGGACTATATTAATTCTAAAGATTTTTAACTTAAATCGTATCAAAAGATTCCATTCAAGTGGACAAATCAGCTCCGAGGTCGCAGCTCAAGAAATTAATTATAAAACAGAGTCAAGGAATTAGTAGACGATGAGGAGCTCACCGATTAGAATAGAAGTGTCGGCACTGAAGAAATAGGCCCATGGCCTGTTGCCGATTCTTGTACTTTTCGTGACTTGGGGCCATACCTTCAAAACTCGCTGAGTGAACGTAAGTACTTACGCTCTATTTTCTTGTCTATGATTGGTGGATTTTGCTTGAAAGGCCGTCAATGATTGGCTGATGAACTTACGATATCTTTTTTTTTTGAAAGTATAGGCCTTGATTCACAAGGGATCTGGCCTTTTGAACCCGATCTTTCCATAACTGACAATTGATTGAGATAGCTGCTGGACTTATTGCAAGGATATTGACGACACTTATTCAATATTTTCTATCAGCCATTTCCTAGGAGAAGCTATTTTCTAGCAGCCATTTCCTAGGAGAAGCTATTTTCTAGCAGCCATTTCCTCGGAGAGGCTATTTCCTAGCAGCCATTTCCTAGGAGAAGCTATTTTCTAGCAGTCATTTCCTAGAAGAAGCTATTTTCTAGCAGTCATTTCCTAGGCGAAGCTATTTTCTAGCAGCCATTTCCTCTAAGAAGCTATTTTCTAGCGGCCATTTTCTCGTAGAAGCTGTTTTCTAGCAGCCATTCGTCGGAGAAGATATTTCAACACATAACAAATCTCAACTGCTGACTATGCATGTACGGTATATACCGTATATTTATGCTACGTATGTTAAACTCGATATCCACAACATCACAGATCTCAAAACTCAATATGCACGTTTTTAATGCTTACGTTGAACTCGGAATTCAAAATCTCAGAACTGCGGATAATGTAAGAATTGTGTGGAGAAACGTGATTCTGTTTTGACTATTTTTTATCGAGTAGAGGCGTTTTCCAATGAGTTGTTGGGGGCAACAATCATTAATGATTCATGTTTTCCGGATGGCGAGAAGTGGAGACGATGAATTAACTTATAACGTAAAATATACTGAATAATGCGAAGGGTAAAATCAATATATATTTTACAACAGGGTTGATTTTTTTCGTTGTTGTGTGAGATCGTGAATTTATTTAATTTTACAACACTTGTTATGTTACTTTTCCTGCTATATTACGTGCTAATACTAAAGCGTGTAATTTGATAGTGAAATATTGCCATTTAGGGGTAAGTGCTCTCAATATTACCTGCTATATTACGTGCTAATACTAATGCGTGTAATTTGACAGTGAAATATCGACATTTAGGGGTAAGTATTCTCAATATTACCGCNTTGGTCCTGAGTACACGACAGTGAGTGCACGCGTCACTCAGCATTATCATCAGCTCTACAATCAGAAGAAACGCGGTAAACTCGAGTCCCTGAATAAGATCAACAAACGCAGTGCTGAAGAAATCGCCGAACTCTCCCTGCGACCAAGTGTGTTCAAGATGCTCCAGCAAGTACTGAAGGTCAGAATGGCTATACTGAATGAATTGAGTAGGAGAAAATTGATTTTTTACTCTTTTAGCTCATTTTCTCATCTATGGAGAAAAGGCGCTATTGTGCTCGCCATGTCCGTCCGTCTGTCCGTCTGTCTGTCCGTGACTTCGCGGACGGACGGATGAGAAAAGGCGCTCTCTGTCCCTCACTGCAGTGAGTAGGTACTGAGTTGTATTTTTTCACTATTTTTAGCGCATTTTCTCATTTATGGAGAAAAGGCGCTATTGTGCTCGCCATGTCCGTCCGTCTGTCTGTCCGTGACTTCACGGACGGACGGATGAGGAAATGCGCTCTCTGTCACTCACTGCAGTGAGTACTGATCTAATTTTTTATCGAGTAGAGGTGTAAACGGAAACCGGATAATTATACTCTAGATACATGAAACATTATTTCATTTCATATGCTGACTATCAGAAACATTTCGTGAATGTTGGTATTGTTGATCTGAGGAATTTGTCAGGACCAAAATCATCCATCGTGACAATTTTATTGATGGTCTCTTTTTTTTTTTTGATGGCAGTATGTCTTTCTGAAGCGCTGGAAATCTTCGTGCTTATGATACCAGTGGATACGGTTTCAGTGGATGAAATTTAAAGCCCCACGTGGACAAACAACTACCGTATTATTTTTCTCAAACAGGGCTACAACAAATGCGACTTGCAGCAGAGTGACCAGCAGATGCTGTTTGGCCTTTATTCTTTGGTTGCTAAGTTGAAAGCTAATTGAACCAATTTAGACAGGTTGACAACTTGACAACCGTCTCTTAAGTTTTTTCCTGCCATCCCGAAAGCAAGCAATAGCCCACAGCGACGGTTGCGTCCATTCGTAGAAATGTAGCGTGCCTAGAGTAAATCATAATTGTACGTGTGCTCAAATTCCACAGTAATGCCTTGGTCGCTGACCCTGAAGTAATAGCGTTCGCAAGACTCAAGAGCCTCATTGGTATAATGTATTGACGATGTTACGATATTAAATTTCAATCAACATTCTCTTGCGACGCCATTTTAATCTGGCTCCAGTTTCATTTTTTCGCTTTCTTCCTAACCACCTTAACCAGTTAACCTATCTCGCCACAATTACTTCGCCATGTGGAACCATGACAACAACCGACCAACAATGCAGTTCAGTTCTACTTACAAATCAGATCCGAGAACTGCGAGAAGCGCCCATAAGCATTCCTAGATTATGAATAATTTCATACAATCATGTCGTAGTTAAAAGTTGTGAAAGAAGTTAAACGTTAAGAAAATTCAATGAAACGAAGACTGGATTGTATTTCAACTCAAACTTGTAATCTTGAATGCTCATATTCTTGGAGCCGCTTTCCCAACTACGCACCAGGTTTGCGGTTCATACTGTGAAAAACGAGTTTATTTCAATAAATGGATCATGGAAGACACGGTAAAAATAATCAATTTAAAGCAGTAAAATCAAATGAGGTTATAATAAACTAAATCTATTCACCTGAGATTAAATTGCAACTCAGTGTGCTAACGCACCTTTGAGAAGAATTTAATTTAAAAATAAATTGATGAAAATGAGAATAAATCAGTAGAAGGTGCATGCTTCAGACGGAAGTATAGAAAGAAAATTTGCAGATTGGTTCGTCGAAGTGAGATTAAAGTTAGAGCGATTTGGCGTAATCTATAAAATAGAGCTCGAGTTGTAGCCGCATCCACTTAGAGTTAAATAATTGAACTTGAATTGAAATAAATTAGATAATTGAAGCCTGAAGCATCACATACGATTATTAAGCATAGATTTGCGCAAATTAAGCAAAACGAAAGAATAGCGGGCAGCTGCTTCGACTTGTCTGTTGCTGCATTACTTCCCTTGACGAGGTTCCAGCCATTTATTCTCACTTGGCTTTTACTTTAGGTAAAACGAATCCATCCCTGCTCCAAGAATACAAGCATTCAAGATTCCAATTTTAAATTCAATCCGCTTCTCGTTTCAATAAATTTTCTTGACGAACAAGGAAGATAATTATAATATGACAAGGGTTGAATGTTGGTAAAGTAGGGACGGCAGGCGTCACAGGCTGGCTAAAGAGCACAAAAATAGGCGTTGCTACGGCGGTGTATCAGGGCGGACTTCTCAATTCCGGAAACCCGACTCTGACCTAAACAACTTACCAAAATTGAACTAAATCTTATTCTATCGGAATAATGTGTAAGGAATGAACAAATTTAAGCAACGATGGGAAATATCCCATAAGATCCAGTTACCCGGACGACGGTTCCATCGATTACAACCTCTGCATAAAATACGAAGCGACAAGCCTCACCTATATGAACTTGAATCGTGATGGAATACACTACATAAATTTTTATTTATAGTTTTATCAAGTTAACGCTATTTATCGGCTGATATGCACACTAATTGGCTCGACTGTGCTAATGCATATAAGCTCAATTGTGCTAAGAGGAAGCCGATTCTGCTAATTAAGTCACCTAAGCTCGTTGCAGATCGCGATCAGCATTTAAACTCGCAGTCCGACATTATTTTAAGAATTTATCTTGTATGTATTTTAAATTTCACTCATTTAGTGTATAATACGGATTAACTGCAGTGTAACAATCTATGGTTCAACTGGCTGAATCTGACTGCATTATGCGTCTAATCGATAGCGTCGCGCATACGTAGTCGCTAAGAATTATTTGTTATCTTGAGTGCTGAGAACTACTTAGTAACTCGCTCATGCCGACCATGTCAAAACCGAGAGCATTCGATTTAAATTACAATGTTCGCTATGAAGTAGAGAAACTTCTGTTCAATCGCTATATAAGATTTCCATTGTTACCGCATTGAATTGAAAGACGTTTGTAATTCTCGTGTGTTAAAGGGACATTGAAGGACTTGAGTTTTGTATGTAAGAATATATCATAGATAATCACGAATACCGTAGATTATGCTTCAACTATTTACAACGTTAAGGCGCATTGAATTGCAACGGTGCCTCTAAGTTCTGAAGGATGGTTACCCCGACTTTCATTTCATTAGTTTATAAGTCCTCTAATGACTCTGATCTAATATGAGACAGTTGCGCCAAAATAATTGAAATGCGTGTTCTGTAATGTGATGGTATGCTTTTGCTTTTAGCGGTTCAAGTCTATATGTAACCGGATTATTTCAGAGACACACATGTGCAAAATTGTTAGCAACTTCTTGTATGACTATAGATTAATTATTATTTGAAATTTCCCAAACGCTATTTTTTATTGCATTAACTAAAATTCATTTCGTTGCGTAGGTACACTTTCAATTTGAATAGATA